TATTCAGCTCATCAACTTTTCTAGATACAGTTTAATGGGAAACTGAAACACATTAAAAATTTTGGCCATCTTTTCATCTCCAAAGGATCGTGGCCATTTTAACGGCACACCGCTTTTCTCTAAATGCTTTTTTACTTTTGATAAGCTCTAAACATACTTCATATGATGCTGCTAAGCTTGATGATTGAACAGCTGTCGGTTTTGTAAATAGAGATTTTTGTTATTCAATTTAGCTTTAAGTTCTATTACAAGAGTATGCGAGCTTCACTTTAATATATGTCGTATTTTGTTTTGAGCTGAGTTACATAACGCCTACGAATGTTGTATTCTTTTCATACCGAGAGTACTTGACAACAAATAATGCACTGAGGTTTGCCTTTTAAATCGGTGAAGAAATATTGATCTTCCCATTTTCCTTGGAACGCACGACTTTCTTCGAAAATCTTGCGTTTTTTTGGCACTACTCATTCTACATTTAACATTCAATTTATTCGCCACTGTTAATTCAACACGACACGTGCAGCTGACGGAAGCTAACTGCCCGCTCATTGGAAGTGGGTGTTCAAGGTTAACTACTTTCTTAAGATTACGGAAAGTTAGACAGGGTTGGAACAGGTAAAAGATATCAATGGCAATCTTTTTGAAAATGTGTTTTGAGGAGGCCGCAGGGTTAACGAGCGTCGGGTCACATGCGGCCCGCGTGCCTGAGATTGGACCATGCTGAGTTAATATACACTCACCGGCAAAATTAACGGAACACCTTAAAAATGGGACATGTTACAGTTGATTCAAATTCGACGTGCAGTAAAAGTAAACAAAACCAGGCTATGCTACGTAAGACTCCAATAGGGTGCGGTTTTTGCTTTTATATTTCCTATTTCCTATCAAATTAATAAAAACAGTATGTACAATTAAAGATTTGTTTACTATGAACAAAGAAGATAATAATATACAATGTTAGTATTATTTTCAAGGAAATTCAAAATAAACGTCCCTACTGTAAAATAAAAAGAAACCTTATGGTTTTGACTAAAATAATAAAGCAGTAATTGCAACGTTGTTTTGACACTTAAATGATTGAAATCGAAACATCAAATACACTTATTTTTTAAAGTAAATTGTGTGTTAGTTCGAATCAAAAGTAGTAACTTATTATTATGTTTTCAGTTTTTATTTGAAAAACAATAAAATTCACGTGTAATTGTACATATTGTTTTAAATAATTTTAATACGAAAGCAAAACCGTATGCCAAATTTTGATTGATTGACAAAGAAGGCTTCTGGCTGAGTACAAAATAAACAACTGATCAAATCCTATTCACGCGATATAGAAAATGAAAGGGAAGGCTATAACGATTACTTAAGGAAAGAAAAAACAAACAAGGGCGACCCAAAAGGGCACTACGAAGCATCTTCGTTATTAATGGATGTAAACTTTCATATGAGATATCATAGTGCAACTACGGATGAAAAAGCGTCTGACTGAGTACAAGATAAACAACTGATCGAATCCACTACATGCGACATAGTAAATGAAAGGGAAGGAATAAATGAATATATTAAGATAGAAAATCAATTACATATCTTAATAGATTCGTTTATATCGTCCCTTTTCATTTAGCTATGTCGCATGTTAGGATTCGATCAGTTGTTTTTTTTTTAGTCCAACCAGAGCCTTCTCTTGAAGTCAATAAATGAAAATTTGTTTTAGAGTAAATTTATTTTCATCCATAGTGCCCTATGATATCTCGTAATGTAACTATACGTCCATTAATAACGAACATGCTGTGTAGTAGCCCTTTTGGTAGTCGTCTTGTTTGTTTTTGTCTATCGTAATATAATCATTTATCCCCTTTGCCTTTCATTTTCTATGCTGAATGTTAGCATTCAATCAGTTGTTTATTTTGGAACTCAGTCGGAGGTCTTCCTTGATCCAATAAATCAAAATTTGTCTTATAGTAAATATATTTTCATCCATAGCGTCCTATGATATCTCGTATGTAACTATACGTCCATTAATAACGAAGTATGCTTTGTAGTGCCGTTTTGGTAGTCATCTTGTTGGTTTTGTCTATCTTAATATAATCGTTATCCCCTCTCCCTTCATTTTCTATGTTGCATGTTAGGATTCAATCAGTGGTTTATTTTGAACTCAACCAGAGACCTTGCTTGAGTCAAAAATCACTGTAAATATAATGACTATAAATCATACGGTCGGCCGCAACTTATGCTACAATGTCTACTTAATATTTTCATATGGATTTTGATAATACAGGAAAATATAGGTTTTTCAGACTCGAGTTTCAAAAACTCGTGACTCGAAAAACAAAACGAACTGTTTCAAAACACACCAGTCTTTAAACAGTTTGTGAAAAGTTGCTATTTTGTTTTCTTGGACACGAGTTTGTGTTTTGTTTTTATTTTGTCCGTTTGTGGGAAACCGCCATTAGATATTAAATTTAATTTTAAAACAATTTTTACATATTTAATTTAATTTTATTAATTCAATGCATTACAATAACGAATTCACATTATTATGTTGTTTGGAAAACCTTATTGTAACATTTATTAATTTTGTTTTTATCTTTGTGTATTCTTCTGATCATAAAATATAAAATGATAATATTTTATTATAACTATAAATGAATAAATTCAAGCACTATAATTCCCTGACGCACGCTCTGGCTAAAATATTATCACTAGAACAACAGTGGTCCAACTAAGTTATAGCAATTTCTTCCGCGTACAAGGACTACTAAATGATATGGTATGCTGTTAATACTTGAGTTTCGTAATACGATGTCTATTTATATAGTTTATGAGGTGGATATTATGTACGCTTATACAATTATGTAAATCATGATTTGGGATTGCTCCTCGTAATATTCATAATGTTGATAATGTGTCTTGGTTTGTTTACTGCTACTGCATCTTTAAGTTAAATTTGGTTTAGATGACTCGAATTTCCTAAACCTGTTGTCCGATTTTAGTGATTTTTTTAGTATGTTATAGGTATATTATTTAAGAATATCAATGAAATAATATTGTTGCTAGACAGGTCAATGTCATTTTATACCGGGTGTAACAATCATACTGTGTTTTTTCCTTAAAGTTCGAAACACCCTGTGGAATATTCTAGCATATATAAAATATTGAAATTAAAGCTCAATTATAGTCTCAGGCTTTCTTAACATTTTCTTTTTTGATTCATGTGCTTGTGTTGGATAATAAAAAAGTAAGGTACGTTAACAACTAGCCATGTTTTTCATCAATAAATGCTCATTTTCTTCTTAGTTTCACCAGCATATTTAAAGGAACAACCATAAAATCTGAGTATTTTCTCTCTAGTCTATATACTGTTTAGATAATATTATAATACGAATGTTGGAAAGTATTTTGAATTTATATTACAATGGTAGTACAATATAAAACCTGTTTAAGAAGAAATAAAACACAAAGATGTCAGACTCAACAAAATACGGATTTTAAACGCATTAACTTTATTGTACAGTTTGAACTTAAATTGGTTTTTTATGCATTTTTTTGGCTCTAATAGCGTGTGTTTCCCCTACGAGCCCTTACAACTGCAGTTATTTATCTTCTCATACTTCTGATACCGCTATCGATCAGTTGTTGGGCAGTCTCTCCCATTCCTCAAAGCAATTGTGACTTCCTCTCTGTTTTGAATAGCAGAAACCCGTGCCCTAAGTTTTCTGCCTAGCATGTCCCACATATCCTCTATCGGGTTTAGGTCTGGGGAACAAGCTGGCCAATTCATCGTTGTTATACCCACTTGTAATAAGAAATATCTTATACAGTCTGCGACGTGTGGGCTCGCATTATCCTGCATTAAAATAAAATTTTCGCCAATATATGGTGAAAAAGGTACCACATGGTCTTGGAGAATATCTCTGATATACTTATCTGCTGTTAATGCTCCATCATCAATCACCACTAACTCTGTTATTGCTCCCAAACATATACCGCCCCACACCATAATTGAACCTCCACCAAAAGGTACGGTCGTAGTAAAATTGAAAGGGGCATTTCGTTCTCGTTGGCGTTGATACAATCTTTCTCTACCGTCGATGTAATTTACACAGAAACGGCTCTCGTCCGTAAAGAGAATTTGACTCCAATGGTTATCATTCCAATTTTGATGTACTCGACCAAATTGTAGTCGTGCTAAACGATGGTGTCTCTGGAGTCTGGGAGCTTTTATTGGCACATATAACTTGAGACCGGCTTTTTCAAGTCTCTTTCTTACTATGCGCTCAATTAAATACAAGTACAAGTTTGTACTTGTTATGAACAGACAGAATGACTGTAAAATGTAAAACACAATACAAATAAACAAATTAATTTGACATTTAAGACTTTCTTGTGACAAGGAGCTTTCAAAGCTATGTAGATATAGTCTTTAAAATACAAATATAAAGAAATATTGCATTAATAACAGGTTCCTTTAAATTTGCCGGTGTGTGTATTAAATTGTTAACTTCTCATAGCCTACTTTAGGCTTGTTTATTAAACTAAGCAGAAAATGAGGATTTATTGATGAAAAACATGGCTAGTTGTTAACGTACCTAACTTTTTTATTATCAAACATAAGCAAATGAATCAAAAAAGAAAAAGTTAAGGAAGCCTGAGGCTATAATTAAGTTTTAATTTCAATATTTTAAATATGCTAGAATATTCCACAGGGTGTTCCGAACTTTAAGGAAAAAAAACACAGTAGGATTGTTACACCCGGTATAAAATGACATTGACCTGTCTAGCAACAATATTATTACATCGATATTCTTAAATAATATACCTATAACATACTAAAAAAATCACTAAAATCGGACAACAGGTTTAGGAAATTCGAGACATCTAACATGTCCCAATTTTAAGGTGTTCCGTTAATTTTGCCGGTGAGTGTATAATATAAATAAAATATAATTATTATTGTCTACTAACTACTTATACTTGTGCACTACTTTTTATCTATAACTTACCCTATATATTTCTTCAGTTTACTAAACAAAGCATTATAATTAAAACTGTCACTTAAAAGAACTTCCGTATAATATAATAGCTTGTGGGTCTCCAAATTCGATTTGAATGTCATCGAACGGTAAAGATGCTAAACAAAATAAAACAACAAACATTTAATTATAATGTGTGTTACATAAGTGCAGTGGTAAAAATCTCCTTGTGGCTCTACAGGATTAAAAGTCCAAGAAATGAACATACACCAGATGCATTTCCATCGAAAGACGTTGAATTTTCTATAGTCTGTAATATCTACCACAGTTTATAGACTGAGAGCTGGTGGATAATTTTGAGTAAAATTTTTGTTTTTTTTGGCAATATTGTAACATAAAATCGAAGATCTTACTGAAGAGCAGTGGGGCTGTGTTAATCCTTAAGTTTTTTGACATGAAACCGTTACTAAATAGTTTAAGAATTTTAATTCTAGCTCAATATTTTTTGTTATTTAATGTAAATAATGGGAATGTATTTAGAATAAATGAGGGATGCAAAACTATAACGTTTTAAGTGCTACTCGAGCTGAAATACGTTTTACATGATTAAACGGTTTTGTGTGCCGACCTTTACTTGCACTCTTGAATACTGAGAAAGTATTCACGTTCTCAAGTATTCAAGTATTCAGTATAACGTTGTAAGTGCCTGATCAATTGCAACCACAGTTGCTACAATCAGTCTACGCAAAACGGCAGACGAAGTACTTGAATATGTGACTGTAGCGTCAAAAAACGTGTTTTTTGACGCTACAGTCATATATTCAAGTATATAAATAACAAAAAAAAAGAAGTAGGTGAAAAAAGTGAGCCAAAGGAGGTAAGTTCTGATAAAAAATATTTTTGTTGTCATATTAAAGTATCATTTAAAAACACTAATAAACGCTATATCTTTGGTTTCTGCTATATTTTTTGCTTAAAGTGTTTTTTATTTATTAATACTCTAAGCAAATACAATTTCTTTGGCAATTAGGGTTAAATGTCAGTTCTCATATATGTGTATAATAAAAAGAGGTGGTATTATATTGATAAGGTATAGAAAACTGTAAATGTAAATATAATAAGCAAATATATAACTGATAAACTATCATTAAAAGAAGGTAATGATAATGTCTTTATCATAGAATAACTTAAAACTATAGGAAGAACTAATTCGTTCAAAATTGGGGTTGATTTTAAGTACAACGATACAATGCATTGTGCAGAATTTTGGCCATATGGAATTATTCTAAGACGATTTAACATAAAAAGAAAATACTCAAAGAAATAACAATGATGTTATTCTTAATCCGTCTTCTTCTGATGATGGGAACAAATCTACGAATATTCCCCAATAAGACGGCCATCTGAAGGTACAGTTGCGGTCACGGAATAGTTTACAGGTTCACGTATCTAGGAGCCCATTTTTTAAATTTTTACTTCGTTTAAACGCACCTTTTACGTCAAAGTGACGTTGTCAGTGGTGTACTAGCTAGAATAGGTAGATTAAAATTAAAATATCAAAATATTTTACAAAATGAAAAATATAGAAAACAGTTTGTTGAATAAAATGGATTATGATCTTAATAACGAAAATAAAGAAGTCTTTTTTTTTAATATGCATTTTATTTTAAATCTATTTTATATTAAATAACGATAAACAATGATAAATAATAATTAATATTTGGTGGAAGCCCCATTCTTGTCAATACAATTTTGCAGTCTTCTGTTCATAGATAGCACCAATCCCCTCATGTTATAGTTAACAAGCTCTTCCCATGCCTGCTCAATTGCTTCCCATAATTCAATTCTATTCCGTGGTCTAAGGTTTCTTTCATTTAGTTTCTTTGTTAACTCTGCCCACACATTTTCGACGGGGTTAAAGTCTGCACTACGGGAAGGCCACGGAAGAACATTAACATCAGTTTCTTCTAGCCATTCTCGAACAATTCTACTCGTATGCACCGGGCAATTGTCATGTTGGAAGATAAAGTCGTTGTTGGGGAATCTCTGGATCACCGATGGCAACATTGTGTGCTCAATAATATGTTTGTAATATAATCCTGTTAACTTCTCCTCTACATGATAACAAACGCCCGGGCCTTCGGCACTTATCCATCCCCATACGTTGACAGAGAATCCTCCACTATTTCTTAAATGATGCGTATACTGTTCATCATACCTATGATTTCTCGGCCTATAAACTCTTATTCGACCATTATTATATGACTGAAATACTTTTTCATCGGAAAATACAACCCTAGACCAAAAATTCTCATCGCGGTTTATAAATTCATTACAAAATTCAACTCGTCTCCTCTTGTGATCCTCAGTCAAAAAAGGTTTCCGTGCAGCTACACAATTTAGCAGTCCACTTGCTTTAATTCTTCGACGTGCAGTGCGAATACTGCCTGGAAACGCTGCCTCTTCTCTTGCCTTTTGAGCTGTGGCAAAAGGAGATTCTCTCAAATAATCTACTAACATCTCATCCTGTTGATCTGTGGAAATCTTCTGCCCTCCTGAACCGCCCAACCGTGCTATAGAGTGAAAATTATCCCATCTTTGTTTAATCTTCCATATGCACATATGACTCACGTTCAAATCAGCAGCAACTTGCCTTAGTGACCAACCTTCTTCGAGTTTGGCAATTGCTCTTGCTTTTTGCGCATAATTCAAATGTATTCTAACCATTTTGGAAGAGTTTAATATACTTTTATTTTATTGTTGAACACTCGCGAAAGCATTGACGTTTTGAAATTTTTTGACTTTGACATTTATCAAATCCGTACGACACTGCAATTTTACAGTATTACAATATAAAAAGTAAGGTGTAAACTATTCCGTGACCGCAACTGTACATGTGCATCAAATGGCCATTAAAGTGTCTATTATCCAAATGTTAGAGGACTACAGACAAAACTTAATACACTCTCTGAATCAGTAACAGCGAATAATTATGATATACTGGCATTTACTGAAACCTCATTATGTGATAATATAGAGAGTAATGAACTAGGCATCTCATAGTACAATATATACTGCTGTGATAGATCAAGCTTAACCAGTTCATGTGAACGACTTGGAGGAGTTCTTATAGCGATTAATAGGAACATTTCTTCAGTTTTAGTAAATCACCAATTTAAAAACATTGAATGTATTTTTGTTGAACTTTTATTTGGAAAACAAAAGTGTCTTATATGTGTTTATTTACCTCCAAACTGTCCATTATGTTTGTATGAAGACTATGTAAATTGTGTAGTGGGTATTTTATATGAAACATGGTACAGTTTGGTTATCTACTTGGTGATTTTAACCTACCAAATATTCATTGGAAAAATGATGAATATGATTCAAGACCGGTTGGAAATATTATTAACAAAATTAAAAGTATTTCAAAAAGTTTTACTTTTTTAAATCTCTTTCAATTAAATAATGTACTAAACTGTAATGGGAGTTTCTTAGATCTTATTTTTTCAAGTATAAATAACAATGACTTTAAAAGTTGCTGATCAATCTTCATTAAAACGTGATAGCTATCATTATAGAGAAAGAAAAGAAGCAGACCAAGCCGCTTATACCAAAAGAGTTGGAAATCGAGATGAAGGAAATCCCTGTGCCATTGTCTACCGAATCTACAGTAACATTACCTTTGTCAGATTGACAACATTACTGTAGTAATGTTGAAAAATGATTACTTTAAACTTTCTCAAGAGATTCTTGATCAGGATTCATCCTACATAACCCTCCCTAGTGATCCAACTAGCAATATCCAAAATAAATCAAATGCCCTAATTAAACGCATTTGGCAATAGAAACAAATTGATTTAAACACTAAAAAGAGACTCTCATCCTAGAAAAGTGTTGTTGCAAAATTCTACACCCTCCCTAAAATCCATAAACCCACCTTAACTATGAGACCTATAGTTTCCTCCATAGGCTCACCAACTGGACATATTACAGGCTTTCTCACCAATATATTGACTAAAGCCTATGATTCAAATAATGATTACTACATCAAAGATTCTTTCCAAGTTGTTGAGTTATTTAACAAAACTTTCTTACCAAGTAATTATGTTCTCGTCAGTCTAGATGTGGTCTCCCTCTTCAGTAATGTTTACTTAAATGCCGTTCTCCGATCTATTCATAAACACTGGAATAAAATTTCGCAAGTGTGTAACATTGATTATGATATGTTTATTGAGATGATAGAGTTCTTGTTTAATTCCACTTGCTTCTCTTTCAACAACAAATATTACAAACAAACCTTTGGCACTCCTATGGGAGCCAGTATCTCTTCAATTCTAGCTGCATATGTAATGGATGATCTGTTGGATATTGTTCTCCAGGTTGTTCCTTTTAACGTTCCTTTTATTAAAAAGTATGTTGATGACATTATTATGTCGTGCCCACAAGGTTTAGAAAGTGAGCTCTTAGATATTTTCAATAGCTATGACCCCCACATTCAATTTACTCTTGAAAAAGAGGATCAAAAGCAATCGGTTCCTTTTCTCGACACAATATTCATCAGGGAACTGGGTAACATCATTACAATTGATTGGTATAGAAAAAAGTGTAACTCTGGAAGATATCTCAACTACCACTCTTACCACAAGTCAAGCATGAAAATTAATCTAGTAAAACAAATGACCACAAGAGTTTGTAAACTAGCTGACCCTATTTTTAGAAAGAAGAATCTCAACATCCTTTTACAGTTGTTCCTAGATAATTCTTACCCCGAATCCTTACTTAGGAAAATCATCTTTAACACATCCTCTGTTATACTCAACACACAAGTAAACCCTTCCCAAAATACAGGTGATATGAAAATTACCTCTGTTTCCCACTCACTGACTAACAATATTCCTAATATATCTTTTGCATCACTTCCATTTATTAAGGACGTCACTCCCAAATTGACCAGAATTTTTGCTCAATACCTACCAAATGTAAAAATTGCTTATAAAAGCACTCTAGTTGTGGGATCTCTGTACAAGTCATTGAAAGATAAAGCACCAAACTTAGATAAAAGTGATGTGGTCTACAAACTTAATTGTTTAGGCTGTGAAGGTTCTTATATAGGTCACACCTCCCAAAAAGTTTCCAGCCGTTTAACTCTTCACAAGAGTGACATTAGGTTACACCCTGATAGATGTTCCCTAGCCACACATGTTAACACAACAGGACACTCTTTCGATTTTTCAAATGTAAAAATCCTATCCACGGAGAGCAATTATTCAAAAAGATTGTTTCTCGAGATGGCTTTCATTTTTTAAGAAAAAGAAACCATTAATAAAAAGACAGATACCAAGAATTTAAGCAACTTATATTCATTATTGTTAACTTTAGATAAACATGAATCTACTAATACAGACAATTCATCGTCAACAATATAAGTTTAATTATATATGAGATATACAATATCTCTCCTATTTCTAAAATAAGTCTTTTCATCTTTTCTTTTTCAATAAGTTCAGCTTCTATCAAGTATACTATCACCTTTACATCGTTATCATTTAAGATCTAACGTTCTGTCGTTTTAAGTTGGTAGCAACGAATTCACAAGCAATTCTTTTGTTTCTGATAAGAATATTTATAACCAAAATTTTATATTGTGACTACATACATGTTTTGTAACTATTTTAACATAATTTTATTTGAATGTTTATGTATGTGTGTTCTAAGTGTTTTATGTATGTTAAAGAACGTTTTAAATCAATTTTTGGATAGTTTTCGCCATAGTTGTAGGGGTCAAATGAGTTGCCAGTTTCATTTAATAAACATCAAGACAACTAACCTCAATTAGTGTAAGAGGCAAAGTAAGTCTTACTCTGGAATTTATACTAATTCTGTTTATTGTAGCACCCTGATGATGCAAATAAAGATTTGCGAAAGCTTGGTTAACTAAAAAGAGTACTTCTTTGTCCCATCTTCCGCTGCACACCCAAATATTGGAGTATTGTATTCTATTTGATCAGCGTTGATTACAAGCGTTCATCGTTTTTTCAGTATATATATATATATATATATATATATATATATATATATATATATATATATATATATATATATAAAACTGTGGGGCTATTTGTTGACTATTTTTTACTCGAGCTATTAGTACTAATCGAGTAACGACGAGAAGTAGATCCACCAGGCTTGAGAATGGCAAGTGAGACCTTGCCGAAACGTCGCCAAAAACAATGGTTTTCGAGAAAACCAGCATTTTACAACGCGGAGTCAAACCCGGAAAAATAGTGACAGCACATATAGCTCCCGCGGAAACCTCAAAACAAACATATATATATATATATATATATATATATATATATATATATATATATATATATATACCTAGACCTGTCATAAATATTGATACAAGGTATTAAACTAATAAAAAATAACTACTGGTTTGATAACTGAACTACAAACAAAAAATAATATTCAAAATAGCCACCATTCGCTACCAAATAGCCACCACATTATTCAAAATAGCCACCATGCGAGTATATTTGAATTATATCTGTTTAAACTTGTTTAAATTTTATTTTTCATGGATTAAGTAAGTGATTGTAACCTTACTAATACTATTACATGTGAATTTTAAAAGTTGACCAATTCTTTGTACAACTGGTAGCTGTAGTTACCATCAATATTGTATTTCTCTTCATGTAAGTCACATTTTTATTATTATTCTCCTTTCTATTAACATGAGAGGTAAAGAGCTTTACTAATCCTTCTAAAAGAGCATTACTTGCAGATTTGTACTGATGCTGTTTTGTAAGTACAAAACGAAACATTTCCATTAATATATGGAATAAAAAAATCTTGCTTTGTTTCTTTTCTCCTCTTATCTGACTGAGACCTTCAAGAGTTACAGTGTGAAAGGTTTCCAACCATTTCCATTGTTTTATCACTGCTTATTGAGTTTGACAGTCTTTGCTACTTATGGCATATATAAGCCAAAAATATGGCGCTGGAGTACAAATTCGTTAAACTTCTCGTGTTCGAATCGGAAATAATAATATTCTTTTCTGTTTTCTTGACTCCTCGTTTTCTAGCTCCTCTGGTCGTTCAATGTTATATCGTAATGTTCAGTTCTTGGATTTCCGGACCTGTATAAACTTTGTAATTAATATGAACCTGAAGGAGCAAGTAAACAAACTTTTTATATACGTTGGTCATTCGATGCCTTAGGATCACAACACTTTGTCAGTAAATTCGTAAAATATTAACATGTTATTTGAAGGTTATTAGCTATCATCAAAGAACGATAAGGCATATTCCCTTTTAGTAGTGGCTAGTAAGGGAATATCTAGATATAAATCCTCTGACATTTCTAAGGTTAAGGTTGTAAATATCTGCGATGTCCAATATAGGTAATAACCTTGAAATCTGGATAACATGCTGGTATTTTACGAATTCATAAAAAGTTTTCCTGGAAGTTTCATTTTGCAAACCTTTTTGTGTTTTTACTTACGAGCAAAAAATTTTGAGACGCAGCGTCACTATGCATGGCACAATTATACATAATTTCCATTACAAGTCCAGCACACATCTGTTGTTTCTTCATCATTAAAGTGCAAAACAGTCTATGTAAAATTGGAAGAGATGGTAACATTACACTAGGTGTATAATCCATGCAGAGAGCTTCCACGGCCTAAAATATACAATTTATACAGACAAAAGACAACACAATCTACATAATTTATCTTTGACCGTGCTACTTACTCTACACAACATGTTTTCATTGAGAGGTTTACTTGTTTCTACAACCTTCATTAAAATTACCAATAGATTTTGATTTCTTGGACTGACTCCCCATTTGCTCTCAGCCAATTTCTTCGATGCAGAAAGAAAAAAGTCTACGTGTCTTCCACCGAAGACGTTATATACTTGTAGTGGCTAAAAATAAGAATTACATTATTAATATGATCATTTTACAACTATGGTCGTTATAGTAGATTAGAAATAGATTTTGTTTTATTATTTGAAATTTTTATAGTTAAGAGCATGCATCGCTCCATTGATCTTTGAGTGACTTTGTAGATTAGAAATAGTAGATTTGTTTTATTATTTAAAAATTTTATAGTTCAGAAAAAAATTAATTCTGTGATGAATAAATTCATAAGCATTTAAGTATGTCTGTAGGTACGCAGTATTCATAAAAGTTGATTGTTTGGATTGGAATTTTGGGAATATTATTGGTCTTTTTTTCATCGAAGGAAATCTAAATACACTAAAATATCTTTAATTATTCCTGCACTTCAACATCTTCAAATTAACTTAAACGAAAGTTGGTTTCAACAAGACAGCTGTACTTTGCATAATGCACAGACGTTGGAGTTTGTTTAACTTTAGTTTTTCCTGAACGTAAGACCAGTACACAAGGTACAATAAAATGGCCCCCTCGGTCACCCATCTTAGTTCCCCTAGATTTTAATTTTTGGAGGATGCTAAAGACCAATTTTTATAGGCATGAATTCGAGAGAGCCACCAACTTGAGCAACTGAAACAAAAAATAATCGAATTTAACCAAAAAATATCAGCAAATGAACTCAATGTCATGAGAAAGGCGTTGAATAATAAATTTGGTTTGTGTTTGGCACAAGGTGGTGGTTTGTTTAAACATTTAATTCGAAAAGAATTTTAATTGGTTTAGAATTTCAGGATCAGGTAGGCTTCACGACAGGAAGATCATGCATCGACCACATATACACACTAGAACAACTGTTGGAAAAGAAAAAAGCAAACAATAGGGATATACATTTGGCATTTGTAGCTCTGTATAAAGAGCTCTTTTTTTTTATTAGAAGTCATAAGTTTTTTAAAGTTTTATAAGTATAAGTTTTTCGCCCATTTTAATCTTAATCGAGCACATAGTGAATGATAAGATAATACTAAATTTAAATTTACTTTTAGTAACATAACTATTGGGACCGTGCAAGTTCGGAACAGCGACACCTGGTGTCGTAACTCAGCCAAATTTACTGCGCTTTCATGTTAGATCGAGGTTACCGGATAACTGTCAAGGACGTAGCCCCAAAAAAGAATAAGAAGAATAAGAAGAAAAAGTAAGATTGAGGTTATGTCGGTTATGTAGTGTAAATACAAATAAATATATTATTAAATTACAGCATTACTGTTAATATGGATGCAATAATAAAAACTGGATTTGAGAAAGTAAATCACCAAATAACTTTTCAACCAAGCACTGAGTCAAATGGAAAAGCTTTAGTAGTGGCAAATGTCAAAAAAGAATGGAAGAATTATGTGGAAGAATTACGAAAAATAAATTACTATAAATAATGCTAATGCATAAATTAGCAGGTTAAGCCCATGATATCATCATATTGGTTTGAACAATTAATTCTTTCCCTGTAAACTTTTGGACAGCGAATATATCTTAATGCATCTTCAGAAAAACTTGAACTTGATGCATTTTTGTAAACTTCAAAAAGATAAAATTTAAACATTAAACTGGATTTTTGGGTTAAAATGAACTCTAAATGAGTGTTATGAAACTAAAATTTACACTTAAAAGTGAACTTTTATTTATTATTTATTTCAAACTGACTTTAAAATCGGCCGCAAGAATAATGCATAATTTAGGTTATGTTACTTATGGTTTTTTATGATATAAATCCACTTTTCTCTTTGTAGTATTTTGTGCTTCGAAGTTGGAAACGAATAAAACTTAAATTGACAATTTTTTGTTGTATTTTTACAATTTATAACACAGTATTCCTAAATCCCATTTTCTTCTGTGACAGAAGGTGTAAATAAACAAACGAATATGAAATATGACAATTGACAATATGAATTTATGAAATCTATGAAATTTGCAGTAAAAAATGCAAGATTTCTCCGCTACTCGCGCACGATCGTTTCTCGTATCACATCCAAGTACTTGCACGTCGCCAATAAGGAAGGAATGTGTTTCGTGACCCCGCCTACCAAACGAAGGTCTGGCGACGAGATTGATGCGACGATGCCATTTAATATTTTTCTGAAGCTTTTTTCTTGTAGCATCTTAATAGAATTTGATATTTTTACGGAGAATAAGCTACAATTTTACTTTAAAATAAGTTTATTTTGATGTTTAGATTTCCACTTCGGAAATCGTTCTCAAAATACAAAACAATAAATTTTATTTATTAATGTTTTGTAGTTTGAAACGATTTTAACAGTATATAGCAGTACGATTTACCAGCATTTGCGTTTAAATTGGTAAACACCGCGTTATTACGTCAGCTCGGTTGGTGAACGAGCGCTATTTTTGTTTTATTTACCAAATCTAACAGCTTCGACAACTTGAATATCCTCTTTAGTAATCTCCTTGAAGACTGAGGTCCAGTAGCTAAATCATCTGAGGCTGCATTTTTTTATTCACAGGTTCCGTTAGATTATGAATACATAAGTTGTTCATTTTCTTTTGTGTTTTAAACACCGTATTGCAAATATCTTCTTGGTTTTTAGAATTGTGCAATTTCATATCATATACCTCGTTCTGAAACTTTTCAATTAATTTGAATAGTTTTGGAACACGTGTCATTCCAGATTTACATTATTGATGAAAAATTGATTGAAAAACTAAACTCTATAACCCTAATCTCTGGTGAAAAAAGACCAGAGCAATAAATATCTTCGTGAACTAGTCGCTTACAAATATCACTATACAGGATTTCTTCTTCAGTACCCTATTTCTTGCATTCCATACACTTCATTTTCCGATTTAAAATTTTAAAAGTGCGTCCTTTTTTAAAAATACCTTTTTATTAATAATAATAATGATCCAAAAAAACCTAAAAAAATGTATACGGACCGAAAAATTAATTGTTACAATTTGTTTAAAAAAAATTGAACAATTTTTAGCCTAAGCGACCTATTGAACATTATTTTGGAGTATCTCATGAAAATGATTACGCAAAAAAATCTCATAGGAATTTTTTTCACCACAGAAATTACTTTTAAGTTGACCCCAAATTTATAATTAGTTTGAACTTCAATTCAGGACATTCTGAATTCTTTTCTAAAAGGTTAATAAATACTTACAGGCTTGACTTGCTTTTAATTGATATTCAATAAAACATAATTTTACAGAGAAAAAACACGAAAATTGAAAGAGATAAATAACTATTTTAAAAAACTTAATCCTTACGAAGATAACCACAAATGAATAAATAACACGGAAAATGATTGCGGCAATGCTATGAGGGGCGAGAAATAGGAATCTAAGAAAAAATAAAAATTTATAACACAATTGTAGAATTAACCAAAATTTTATGAAATTTTCTATACATTAGAAGGAAATTGCAAGAGAGTTAATTGATAAAGGCCAAGAATCACAAAGTATAGTTGAGAACCAATCTCCACAAGATGGTATAATAATAGTAAATAATAAACAGAAAAATTAAAATAAAAACAAGCAATGTTTAACAGACAACTAAAAAATATTAGAAGAACTATGTTAATAAGTAAATTAAAGAAACTGGATGATGATAAAATGAAGACATAGCATTATTTAAAAAAGAAAAACTGTTTTATTGGTTTGGGTAAATAACTTACCTTAAATACGAGTTGAACAAGTTGACTCTCGTCCAGTAGACAAAACTTGGCAATCATATCAATAACTTTATTTGACTGTGTTTTGTCTTCTTGTGCCATCCAGCTTACAATGTTGTCAATTGTGATTATATAATATTCTGCTATTATTCTCAGATTAAATGGCGGTGGATTTTTAGCCATAGCAAGCACTAGATACATAATTCTGTCCCAATAATTCTTGTGGTTCTCACACATTGTATACATACACATGTGATTGACCAGATCAGAGTAATGGTTACTATGCAAAGTATTCATAATCTCAACTGCTTCCTAAAATAGTAAATAAACGATTTAGTATTAAATCTGAAAAGTTACAAAAAGTTTAGGTTTTAGAGATAAAGTACTGGGGAAAAGACTTAACCTTTTATACAAAAATGTATTCGTGGGTGGTTAACGTTAGTAGTGGTGTAATATTTTTTTTATTTAATTAAAATGTTAACTATTTTTACTCCTTTTTCCCCCGTGATGATACGCGGATGATCGTGTTTACGATTAGAAAATATTATTGAAAACTATCGAAAAATGGCGGAAGAATCTACCTACCAAAATAACACGGAATTTCCCTAATTAAGAAAGGTTTTTAATTCTTTCCTTTGTAATCCTGAATATGAATGGAAGTAAATCTTTCCGGCTTTAAGGCGGGTTTCTGATTAATACTTTGACAAACAAAGTCGTCGAAGGCATTTTATGGTATGTTTAGGAAAAACCTAATCTAGAGGAATTTATATTTCATCACGTTTATAGTTGGAAAGGTACCGTTAGTTTCGATGTTCATTAGAATCTTTTTACCTTCTCAGAACTACATATAACTGGCCTATGATTTTTGAGTGGGAGTTATCCCTTCCTTTTTTTGTGGGTAGTTTGAAAAAATTTTGTAGAAGAAAGATTTACTTCTCGGTGGGCCGTTATGGAGTAAAGGTTGATTTCTCGTGAGACGCTTTGCTCACTTTATCGTATTTGTTATCTTACCGTTTGTGAATTGTTTTCTAAGTGTGTATACACTTGTTTATTTGAGTATTTTTGATCTTATACTATATTAGATTAAATATAGTTATAAAGTACCTTTAATGTTAATTAAATTCAGTGTTTGATACAAGTAAAGTATTAAGGAATTACTATAAGTTACCATAATCTTAGTATCTCCACTTATTTGGGCGAATAATATGGTATAGTATCATACCATCTTAAATTATCTGGACGTATCTAAAGTTCATCCATGTCTTCAAATGTAGTTGAGAGTAACTACTGAATTTTGCATTCAATTTAAAGAGCAGTCAATATTTTGTTACGAACCAAATTCCATCAGCTACTAAGAAATTTCAATAAATAATAATTATGAACATTTAAGTCTCAGTTTATCATTAAATAATAATGCGAGATAGCTAATCGACTTAACCAAGTGCGGTTTTGTTAAATTTTTATGTTTTCATTTCTGTAACATTTTTATATTTTTGTAAAACTAGATTTAATTAATTTTTGTTATCTTTATATATTATATATTATATATATATATCTTTATATATTATATATGTATTATATATCTTTGTAAAGGTATTTTCTAATTATATTACTGCTTATTTTTATATGTATACCACCATTTCATAGTTGTTGGTGTATTTTTATTACTTGTGTTGCATTCAGCAGCGTCATAATTTTGTTGTTGAATATATTGTTATAGTTTTATGTATGTATTTTATTTGTCGACTTCTAACAAGTTCCCTGATAAAATAGTAACTCTGAATATTTGCCTTTTACCTTTAATTATTATTATGCCTTATAAGTTTCGTAGGTAAGTGTAATACCTAATATATTTATTATTTGTTTATATAATGTGTTGACCAAATTTAGTTAATAATTAACTGTTACTATCTTTCCTTAGGTTTGATCTCTGAACCTAAATATCTTTCCTTATCTCTTTTCTTTTCTAAGGTTTCTTAATTTTCTCCTTAAACCCCAAAAAATTGAGTGGCGCCCTGTTTCTATCTTATCGTATCTTTGCTAATTTTACCCATACATCTTTTTGTTTATTTCTGTATCTTTTCTAATATATCCTATCTTGTTCTATCTTTACTTATTTCGTCCGTTGGACCCATTCCCGGTTCCAAAAGCTAGTTTCGAACCCACGACTCGCTCTCCACCAACCATCTGGCTGCTGTCCACACTGTCTCCATTGGTGACTTTTCTAGCACCACCCAAAAAAGGTTTCCGAGGATACAGTGGACTTTAGAAGCAGTATGGGTTTATCGATAATCACTGTGCAACAAAAGAGATGTCCACAAATCCCGACGAATGAGTCGCAGGTATAAGAAATTGAATCCAGCTTTGTCTACAAATCCTACTCTCCCATTCACAAAAGCTCAGTGCAACTTAACCACTAAATGCATTTCGTACAAAGGATGTATATTATGCAACTAATTATCAAGTGTGAAAGACGAGTTTCCAACGCCTATAAAATAACTGAAACTAAGCGATAAACAAATTCTACAGAAAACCAAACAGATTAAAACAGATTAGCATCCCCACCATCCGTTATCGAAAATCGAAGAGAATATAACATAGAAACACATATTGCATTTCTAAATTTAAAAAAAACATTAGACAAGGTAGATAACCACAAACTATTTGAAATTATGAAAAAACAGAATACCCAATATCATAATTAAAATACAGAAAAACGACTCAAAACTGATAAAACCAACCAAAATAATATATATATATATATATATATATATATATATATATATATATATATATATATATATATATATATATTGTAAAAACTACGACCGTCAATTTATATTAATAAATAAAGTATTCAACTAGTGAATTCAGATGTTTATTCGGTCAGTCAGGTTGGCAAAATAAAAAACAGAAGTCAACTACTTCATAAGTTTATAGAAGACGTTTCGCTTTATACTTCTAAAGCTTCATCAGTTCTAACTCAATATGTAGTATTAAAGATGTTATTGTATATGTACTTAAGTTTACTCATAAATTTAGAACTAACTTAAAAAAAATTAAACAGAAACATGCAAAAAATAATATTCGCAGAAACGAAGATTTACAAAAACTTTAAACGTACATTTGGCTTCATTTAGAGATGGTTCTCCAATGAAGACAAACAAATTACTGATTACACAAAATACAGACATCTGTAAATTTTTTGTCATAATCTTGACGATGCACCTTTAGTGGTTAAACAATAACTGTAGATTTTTTTTGGAATATAGTGGAATTTTTATTATTATTTACAATTTATGAAAAATACTTCCCTCATATACTGGTGTATCTTAAATTACACCAGCATACGAAGTAAAGTACCTTTAAATGAGCTTACAAAAAATACAAGTAACTTACTGCTGTCATCCATAATCTGAACATAGATATCGGTGATATTTTCAGGTTTTCCGTTGATATCGGTGTCTTTTTTTTTGTTTTTTGTTCATACAGGTGACATTTTTAGGTTTTCCATCAATACTGTTAAAATCATTTTTAAGTAAAGTCAATATTTTTCCCCCTTTCACCCTGCATTTTACTATTTAAACTTACAGTTAATAATAAAAAACAGCACAACACTATCTATAGTTTTAGTAACGAATAACTAACACACCAATAACGTATCGAACCCTCGTTCATCGTACACTGAGTCAGCAGACACTTGTCCTGGATGAATCCCTCCGGATGCGGCGTATACAGGTACTACTGTACTTGGCTCGGTATACGGCGTAAAATAATTAGCTGCAGTTATACCAATTGACGCCACTTTATCTCGGCTATTTTTTTTTAATTTTCGATTTTTTATATACCTGTCTATAGGCAATGGATTGTTATGTCCATAACAACAAAAAATGCAAAAAACCCTAATTTGTTAGTTGACTTAGTATACTTAGGAGCCGTCGATATAATACATATTAATGGGGTAGTGATGTGTCTCAAATAGTCTCTCCTACTCAAAAATCAACCTCAGCTTCATGTTGCTGAACCCTGTTATCACAAACGAGTCTCTGACGATCGAGTAGCAGCGAAATAACTGTAATACGTGGAATTAAGAAAATGTATTTCCATTAAGAGCCCCTCTTGTGGGAAATGGGCTACCAAAGAAGAATACCCCACAGTATCCCCAAACTCTATACGAACATGGGCGGTATAATTCTAACCTAACACATAACACAACATCATTGGCCTGAATGAAATACCTAGCTACTATAACCTGAGTAAACTGGAGCCTAAAATAAGCCCTAGCACTGGATTAGAGTGCAATAGGCCAGTAACCTGTGCACCTTAAACTCAACTGTCACGTATACTACGAACGTAAAAATCATACGGGCTCACAGACAACGACGTACTGGTGGAATTGCGATTAGCAACCTGAAATGTCCAAATCATGCTGCAGGCAGGTAAAATGCAAAGTATTGCACAGGAACTGTAGAAATAAGTAGACAGGCGCCCTCCAAGATATCAAATTTAAATGGTATGGAAATGGATGCATAAATAGAAAAGACTACTGTTTATACTATTGTGGAGCAGAAAGATAAGAAAAATTTAGAATGGGTTTTATGGTAAACCATAAATGCCTCAGGTCGATATTGAGTTTCACTCCAGTTTATGAAGCAATATTTAAAATAAGCTTATTACAAGTATAATGTGAAAACGTGCAAAAGGGAGATGCAGTTATATTCCTGGGTTATACGAACGCAAAGTTGGGAAAAGGACCAATATATCCAGAATCCTTTGGTATGCATAGTTTACATGATATTACCAGCAACAACGGTATAAGCGATGGGCAATATCCATAACACATGTAGAAGAAAAAGAAATAATCCATTACTCAGCAGAATAATAGTTTAGTAATAAAACTTTTAATAGTTTGTTACGCCACTGTCAAAATACTTAAAATCTTATTTAGCTTTTTACAGTGAAATTGAGTCTTGTCATTATTAATTTTTATTACTGCTATAAGAGACGTCATTTTAATATTAATTAAAAGCTTCAAATGTTCTTTCGTTTTGTATGTAATGTAATTTTAATTTAATATTGTACAACTAATAATAAAGTTGTTCTTTTTGTAGAGAAACACAATTGAGTTTTACTAATGAAACTTCGGTGATTGGAGAAACAAACATTATTACATATATTATAGAAAAAATATTGATCTTACCTCAAATTTAGTAAATTCTTCATTTTTCCAATACAGGCTGAAAGAATCTAATAAGTGTTCCATGTTATTCGTGCCTATTTCATTCTGTAAAACATCTCTTATAAACACTTTTATAATACTAAGGGCAGTAGTGGGGCAGTGAATATATACTTGGAAATTTTCTGATAATATATTGAAGAAACAAAGCATTATGCTTCTTAATTTGAGTTCATCTTTTTCGGCTGCAATGATTTCTGTCAGACTGGTCATTGCAAACCTAGCAATGGGAGGAGCTAAAACAATTTTATGATTTAAATTTATTATGAACTAGTTGACCCGCCGAACTTCGTCTCGCCTTAAAATTAAATAACGTATCATAATGATTTCAAAGAACAGAAATCTCCAGGTAATTAAATGAATCCTGTCGAAGTGTCAAAAGCGACTTTACCATTTCCAATATCTAACAACTGCTTCGAAAACACGACTGCACTTTGATCTTGTTGCAAAAACACTCGCTAGTTATTTGTCAATTCGAGCGCCTTTACATGCCGCCACAAATTGGATGATGTTAGACATGTGTTTAGTTCGTTTGCAGCAGTTAATTGGAGAATAATTATTAAATAAGGTCTGAAACAGTCTGAAAATAGAATCATGGCTCCATCAAAAATTATTTCGCTTGTCACGAATATCTTTCAAAGTTTTGTCCATCTCTTAACTTGAACTGTTTGAAATAATATTCTACTGCATCTATGTATTTTCTTCTTCTTCTTCTTTAAGTGCCGTCTCCCAATCGGAGGTTGGATATCATCATCACTATCTTACTCTATCTACTGCTGCTCTGAAGAGTTCTATAGAACTGCATTTAAATCAGTCCCTTAAATTCTTCAACTATGACACTCTCTTTCTTCCTATACTCCTTCCTCCTCTTATCCTTTCCTGTATTATCAGCCTTAGCAATTCATATCGCTGTCCCCTCATTATGTGTCCCAGATATGGTAACTTTCTTATTTTTATTGTGTTTATTATTTCGCATTTTTTGTCCATTTCTCGCAATACTTCCGTGTTAATTTTCTTCTGTGTCCATGCTATTCTAAGCATCCTCCTGTAACACCACATTTCAAAGGACTGTAACTTATTTATGTGTTCTTGCTTCAATGTCCAGCTTTCAAGTTCATATTGCAGTATCGAAAACACGTAGCATCTCAGTGCTCTTACTCTCAGGTTCGAATCTAAGGTATTTGTTGCAGATAATTGTTTTCATTTTTACAAACGCATTTCTTGCTATTTCTATCCTGGCTCTTACTTCGGTTGTTTGATCATTATTGTCTAAACTCCAGGTTCCTAGGTATTTGTATTTATCAACCATTTCTATCGATACATTTCCCAAATGTATGTTTGTTGGTATACTTGTTTTCTTTGTTATTATCATGTATTTGGTCTTTTTATATTCATTTTAGTTCATATTTTTCACAGAAACTGTTTGTTTTGTTTAGCAGTAATTGGAGTTGTTCAGCAGAGCTTGCCATAATCGCAGGGTCATCTGCATATCTTATGTTGTTAATAGATCTTACGCTAATTATTATTCCTTCACTTTGATATAGTAATGCTTATCTATTACGATTTGTGCTCTTTGATTCCAGTAGAGGTTTGTTATTATTCGTAAGTCCCTATGGTCTATGTTTTTTGGCTTTAGAATTTGGATTAATTTTTCATGTCTTACTTTGTCAAATGATTTTTTAAAATCAACTTAACAAACATGCACATAAACATTCATATCCATGCATCTTTAAGCTAACACATTAAAAGCAATTAACGCTTCTCTGGTTCCTAGTCCGTTTCTGAACCCAAACTGACTATCATCTATTCCTCCTTCCAGTTTTTTATTTATACGACCATGTATTATTTTCAAGAATAATTTGAGAATATGAATTATTAGTAATATTGTTCTGTATTCATTGCAATATTTAGCGTTTGTATTTTTAGGGATGGCACAAAAGGTGGAGAGTAACCATTGTTTCGGTATGTGTCCTGTTTTGTATACTGAGTTAAATAAGTCTACTATAATGTCTAAGGTTTCATCATTTATACATTTTAAGATTTCTATAGGGATTTGGTATGGACCTACTGCTTTACCATTTTTGTTGTTTTTTAATGCCATTTTAATTTCCTCTTTTAATATCCTTAAAACAATATCCTCTTCTACTTCTATCTCCATCTGCTCTGTTCTATAGTCTTTGAACAGTTCATTGATGTATTCTGTCCATCTCTTTAATTTGTTGTTAGTATTCAACACAAGTTTCCCATTTGAACCTTTCAGTATTCCCGGTTTTCTTGTTCTATTAATTGTTGTGAGTTAATTCTTTAATTATTTTATCTGTGTTAAAACTATCATGTCTTTTCTGGTATTCTTCTATTTCTGCGCATTGTTCTTTTAACCATTATTCTGTCGCTTTCTTAATTCTGTATTTTATTTGTTTATCCACTTTTTTGTACATCTGATTATCTTTGTTTTTATGTTGACGTCTTTCTTCCATTAAATCAAAATTTCTTCCGTCATCCATTGCTTCTTTTTGACTTTTATCTATTTCTGTCTTTTTTTATTCGTCTCAGTATTTTGCAGAATTTGCTCTTTAACATTCATTAATCCGTTATTGATTTCATCTGCCCTGCGTTGCCTTATGAGTAGGTTCTTTAATTTACTTGTATCAATTTTTGCATTTGTTGCTCTTCGTTTTATTATTTTCATTTTGAGCCTAATTTTGATCACTACTGGGTGATCTGTTGTGATCTGATCCTATGTCGGCACTTGGATAAGTTTTTGCGGATATAATTGCGTTCCTGTATCTTTGTCTAACTAATACATAGTCTATTTGGTTTCTTGCAATTCTCTCTTCTTCCAGGTATATAGTCTTCTCCTTGGCATTTTGAATTGTATTAGCTATAACAAAATTATTGTTTTGGCAAAATTCGATAAGCCTGTCGCCCCTTTCGTTTCTGTTGCCCAGACCCTATCCTCCTGTACATTCTTCTACTTTTTCTTCCCCAACCTTTGCGTTAAAGTCTCCCATTATAATTGTTACATCTTGTGTTTTAATGGATTTTAAAATGTTGTCTAGGTCTTTGTAGAAAATTTTAATATCGCTCTCTGGTTTATCCGCAGTTGGAGCATAAACTTGTAGGATGTTTATTTTGGATTTGTTCTGGTTTAATTGTAAGAGTATAATTCTGTTGGGAGTATGGAGTGAAATTTATTACAGCTTCATCAATGTTTTTGTTTAATATTATCCCAACACCATATCTGTGTAAACCGTCTTGACTTCCTGAATGATATATTGTTTTATTGTTGATTTTTATCTTTCCTGAGTCGGGCCATTGGACATCGCTTATTCCTAAAATATCTATTCAGCCTTTCCATTTCTTTAAAGGCATTATGTACTTTTTTAAACATGATGTAGACTTCTAACATTCCAAGTCGCTACTTTGCAAGGTTTTCACATGTTGACGACCGGGGAGGCCTTGCAGTCTTGTGAGTTTCCTCCTCTGCCTGATCTTGTTTTCTGAGTTTCATGATTAGTAGAGTGTTTGGTTGTATTGTTAGTCATGATGATTAACTAGGGATGCTCTATGAGCCTTTAATGCATTGGTTTCCCGTTGCCTTATGCATCTCCACGCCGTTGACCATGTCTGGTTCGTCCGCCTTTAGAAATGATTTACCATTTCTAGGACAAGAAGGTGCCCTCTCACTTACCGACTGTTCCACCCAAAGCTGTTGGTCAGTAAGTTGGGGATTGCTTATACCGACAATCTCTCGGACGCCAGAGCCTCGTTTGTTGTCTAGCAGAATGTACCGGATGATCATGATCTAGATCATCTCACGAGCAGGTGAGGTTGACATTGGAATAGGAGAGGCTTTTCTTCTAGTTCACCCTTTTACTTTACTTTAGAAAGAATCCTCCCATTTTTATAGTGCCCAGGTATTCTGCTCTGTTTACTGTAGAGCCAATATATCAATATCACGTTGAAAGATCCCTCGCTGTTTGTTCCCCTTACATTCCAAGTATATAATACAGTATTTCTTTTCTTTGCCATTTTTTCACTTTTTCCTTCTCATCCTCAGTTTTCTGGTTCTATTTCTTGAAACGATTCTAGTTTGTACATCACGAGGGGTGTAGAGCTAGTTCGCGTCCGTAGTAGAATACTACACGTGCACCCTGGGTAATGCTAAATGAACTAGCACATACTGGCAGTCAGACAATCCTTAGGATCTCCTGACCAAACAACACTTTCAACGAAAAAATGATAAACAAAATAAACGGCCCTTGTGAGGACCGCACTACTAGACCAATCGGACCTATAGTTCGAATTTGCCACATAAACATAGAAGGCATAAGCTATGCAAAAAGCCAGTTTTTATCAAAACTATTAAAATATGACAACATTGACTTAGTTGCTATACAGGAAACCCACTGCGAAACAGAGGAGCAACTACAAAAAAGGGGCAAAATTCCGGGATATGAACTATTAGGCGCAACTTACCACCGAACATATGGCACAGCTACATATGTCAAAGAAGATATTGAAAATGCCTCGCTAATCTCTACTTCCACTGATGACTGTATTTATAATGTGGTCACAAAAATCGCTAGCATTACCGTGTCCAACATTTACAAGCCACCTGCTACTCACTGGCCAGTCCAAACAATTCCAGTACAGTCTCACCCTGCTGTATATGTTGGAGATTACAATAGCCATCATGAACAGTGGAAGTACACAAATAGTGATGCAAATGGGAATGCTTTAATAAAATGGGCAGAAGACGAACGCCTATACCTTTTGTTTGATGCCAAAGATCGGCCAACTTTCAGATCTGCGGCATGGAGGCGAGAATACAACCCCGACCTATGCTTCGTCTCGACCGACAACAAAGACTTACCTTTAGGGGCTTCACGAAGAGTTCTAACTCATTTCCCACACAGCCAACATCGACCAGTAATAATAGAAGTAGGGACGCAAATCCCTACGTCCAAGATGGAATTTTAAAAAGGCCAACTGGACTGACTTCTCTGTGGATCTAGATAAATGTCTAGGATGGATTACACCGAATATCAAAAACTACCACAGATTTGTTGGTGCCGTGCTAAGTGTAGCCAAAAAACACATACCGAGAGGATATCGCAAAGAATATGTTCCTGGCTGGTCGGAAAATAGCGAGGAATTATATCAGAGCTTTCTTGAAACTGGCGACCAAGAAATAGCAGATGAACTACTGTACAGCCTAGACGCCGCTAGAAGACAAAAGTGGACCGAAACAGTAGAAAGTCTAAACTTCCAGAAATCAAGCAGACAGGCATGGTCATTACTAAGAAAATTAGGGAGTGGTGTCCGTAAGAAACGCCAAGAGGCAGCCGTAAAGCCAGATGCCATAGCATCCCATATAGTAAAAACATCCAGAGCACCAAAGGATAAAGCACACACCATCTACGTAAAGAGAGAACTTAAAACTTTAAAACATGTAGCCACAGAAACGGAGCATTCCCACCCCTTCACCAGCGAAGACATATCAGAGGCTCTAAAAGATGTTAAGCCAGCAAAAGCACCAGGATTTGATAATATTCACCCTGAATTCCTACTAAATTGTGGCAAGTATGCAAAAGTTTGGTTGGCTCGATTTTTCACAGACATCATGGAAACTGGAAATATCCCACAAGAACTAAAGCGCTCTAAGATAATAGCCATACCAAAGCCAGGCAAACCCGCTGACAACCCAAAAAACTACAGACCAATTGCGCTTCTCTCTGCTATCTACAAACTATTAGAGAGGCTTATATATAATAGAATCAGTACAGAACTGTTCCAGGTGATCCCAGTCGAACAAGCGGGTTTTCGACCAGAACGAAGCTGCGCGGACCAGGTCATGTCACTCACCACCTACATCGAAGCGGGTTTCCAAAGAAGACTTAAAACTTCAGCGGCATTTATTGATCTCTCGGCAGCTTACGATACAGTATGGAGAGAGGGCCTTATATACAAAATTCTCCGTGCAATTCCCTGTAAACAAATAGCACGTTTAATAGATAGCATGCTCAACGACCGAATGTTTCAAGTAGTGATGGGCACAGATATCAGCCCACCAAAGAAACTTAAGAATGGCCTACCACAGGGGTCAGTGCTCTCTTCATTACTATTTAGCTTATATTTAGCAGATATGCCAGAAACACAATCAAGAAAGTTCGGATACGCCGATGACTGGGCCCTCACTACACGATGCAGAACACTAGAAACATCTGAAGAAGTTCTGACGGCAGACTTATATATATTGAGCAAATATTTTCGCAAGTGGCGGCTTCAACCAAATGCATCCAAAACAGAAGTAAGTTGCTTTCACCTGAACAATAAACTTGCTGGAAGGAACTCAACATACGCTTTGAAAATACCACACTTTCTCATAACAAAACACCGAAGTACCTGGGCGTAACACTAGACAGAACGCTATCATTTAAAGAGCATTTAACAAAAACTGCCCAAAAGTTGAGTACAAGAAATAACATTATACAGAAGCTCTGCGGTACCACCTGGGGAGCATCGGCTTCCACTCTCCGCTCTACTGCTTTAGCCCTTGTTTTCTCGACCGCTGAATATTGTGCCCCAGTTTGGCTACACAGTCCACACGTAAAAAAGGTCGACACTCAGCTGCACAGCACTATGAGGATGATAGCTGGTACAATTAAATCAACTCCCACCCAATGGCTTCCAGTATTAAGTCACATTCCACCTCCACATTTACGACGAGTTGATGCACTTACACGTGAATACAAAAAGATCATGAACAATATAAACCTGCCGATCCACCAAGATACCGAGGATGCACGAAATACCCGTCTACGTTCTAGAAAACCACCAATGAAAACGGCAAGAATGATACATGAGGAGTTCAACATCACGAATGCATGGTCCCAAGAATGGAATGCATGGCAAAATAACATGCCCTGTATTACCCACAAGCCACCAGGTTTTGATCTTCCACGTAAAACATGGTCCACTCTAAACAGGATCCGAACCAGACATGGCAGATGTGCATACATGCTACACAAATGGGGAAAGAATCCGTCTCCCCAATGTGACTGTGGGAAGGACCAAACGATCGACCACATTATTGAAGAGTGTCCCTCAAGATCCTATAACGGTAGCCCTGAAGACTTCCTGTTTGCAACTTCAGAGTCAATTGATTATGTTAATACACTTGATGTTTGTTTGTAATTATTTAAAGTTTGTCATATACCTATATTACTAGTGTTTGTAATTTTGTTCTAAATGTGTTGTAATTGCCATACGATAAATAAAATAAATGTACATCACGATTTAGTGTTTCTTTTTTATTTTCCATATGCGCACATCTTTTCATATGTCTTTCGTTATTGTTAAATCTTATATTTTTTCCTTGATTTTGTACTTTTCTCTCCATGTAAGTGAAATAATTGTTGATATAAAATTTTTCATCTTTAATGAATCTTAATTTGCTTGTCTTTTCCATTACTCTGCTTCAGTGGTATTTTACAGTTCATTTTTAATTCTAGAGCTTATTTGAAGTCCTCTTATTACAATTTTTCTTCTCTTTATCTCTTTTTCAAAATAATCTTATTCTGTTTCGTTTTGGATGAAATTTGAAGGGATGAAATTTGGATCTTATTCTGTATTCAACTTGCACTAAAGTTTTCTTAGTTTTTCTCAGAATTCCATTCTGAGAACATAGACTTCCTTTTTCAAGACATACATTTCTTCTCTAAATTCTTTATTGCCAATATGTATTTGTTTCATCTCCAGCAGTAGATTTTTTTTAACAAACTCTGTCTCTGGTAGTTACTGGGTGAATTGAATACTAGAAAGAGGTATGACAGGTCTAAAATAGAGGAAGATAAGGACATATACAAGGTAGCAAAGAGGGAAGCTACTGCTAAGGAAAGATCTGCTAAATCTGCACAGCTGTATGAAGGTTGGAAACACCCGAAGGGATGAAAAGGTTATACAGCATTGCTAAAGCAAGGGACAAATCATCAAAAGACTTGACCCACGTGTGGCAAATTAAGAGTACGGATGGAAGAGTGTTAAGAACTGATATTTTAAATAAAGCAAAGATAGTATGAGTACTTTAGAAAGTTGCTAAATGAAGAACACCAGATGAGAGACAGAGGATGCAGGATCCCAAATAAGAATGTAATACTGGAAATAGTGAGAGACGAGGTTGCCGAGTCGTTAAATAGGATGCAGAATGGTAAGGCAGTAGGAGTTGATGGAATAACTGTGGAGGTTTGTAAGGCTCTAGGAGGAGAAGGGATTGATATTTTGTGGCAAATGATGAGTAGGATATACAAGGAAGAAAGGATGCCCAATGCATGGAGAGAGTGTGTGATGGTATTATTGTATAAAGATAAAGGGGACATTGGGATAATGTCGCAAACAATGAAAATTTGGGAGAGAACCGCAGAGGGAAGGTCAAGGAGAGAGACATCGATTGAAGAAGAACAGTTTTAGTTTATGCCAGGACAACGGATGCCTTGTTTGTTTTGAGACAGTTGGTAGAGGAATACAGCGAGAAGAAAAGAGAGCTACATTTGGTATTTATAGATATTGAGAAGGCGTATGACACAGTCCATAGACAAGAGCTACAGAAATGTATGAGAGAAATGGGTTCCTGAAAGAACTTGTGATAGATTGGCCGAAAGTTTTCCTGTGACGGTTGGTTTGCTTCAAAGCTCTTTACTAAGTACCTACCTGTTTAATCTCGTTAACTGTTCTGGATGTACTGACAGAGAAAGTAAGGGAGGGGCTCCTTGGTCAATACTCTTTGCAGATGATATCGTGTTAGTATAGGAAAGCAAAGATATGTTGTAAAGGAGAAGTTGGAGGGTTAGAGAAGAGGGAGGACTTAAGATTGGCAAGTTGAAAAAGGAGTATATGTGATTAGGAGGTAGAGGAATGGTTGGAGACATAGAATTACTTGGAAAAAAACTAGAAAGAGTAGAAGAATTTAAATACATTGGCTCCTAAATGGGACACTAGAATGAGAAATTGCTCACAGAATACGGACTGCTTAGTTTAACTGGAAGTGAATGAGCAGGGTACTTTGTAATCGAAAAATTGAGGAAAAGGCTGGAAGGAAAGATATACAAGAGTGTGGTGGGACCTGCATTGGTGCATGTCCATGAAGTGTGGTCTGTAAAGAAAATTCAGAAAAAGAAGATGGAGGTAGCTGAAATGAAAATGTTACAGTGGATGTTGGGTAAGACTAGAAGGGACAGGATCAGGAACGAATTGATTAGGGAAAGGCTGGGTGACCACAGTTTCAAAAGAAATTGAAGACCAAAGAGTCCAATGCTTTGATCCTGTCAAATGTAGAAATGAAAACTATGTGGGACAAGGGATGGAGCTGTTAGAAGTTGATGGAAGGAAAGATAGAGGAAAACTGAGAAGATAGAAGGATTGTGTGGAAGAAGACTTGAAAGAGAAAGGTTTACTTGAAGAAGACCAGATGAACAGAAATGAGGGGGGATGACGAAGAGTAAGGAACAGAGGCCCCTGAAAGGGGACAAGCTCAGGAAGAAGAAACAGAAGTAGTTTTTTTAACAGGCTGTATTTTCCTGTCCAAGTTGTAAAGCTTGGTCTTGTCTTCTATATGTTTGCGATGTTCTTATTATTTTTATTTTGATTACCTAAACGGAGATTGTCATTCTCTTTCTCTTCTCTTATTATCGCTTGCCAAATAATCATCACTATCTGGCTGCATCATTTTAACTAAATACTAGGCTTTTCAGTCTTTAATGTGCGAAAGGGAACTTTCCGTATACTTATTCTTTTGTCTCAGATTTTGTACTATGTCAAGTGTAGCAGCAAAAGTTATGAATATTTTAAATGGGTAGCATATTTTATAACAAGCAGTTTTTAAGATTAAAAAGAAATGAAACTAATTACTGAATTATTTACCTTCATCAATATTAACAATAGGAGTTCGTGAACTATTTACCATGCTTAGCATAAAAAGGTTAGCTATTCCTACTAGTACCTTTGATTCTAAGTGTTCTTTTATACAATATTCTTTGTATAAATTCATGGTGCTCATTATCATTTCTGTTGGCAAAGTTGGGTTTGTAACTAATGTTTTTACAAAAGTACGTATTTGTACCATTAATATATAAGGCTCAAAGAAATATTTTCCAATGCCAGGTACCAATATTAGTTTCATGAATAGGTTGGATGCCAATATGGTTGTTTTAACTAGGTTTTTATTGCTGAAAAAAATTAATACACAATTAATACATTTGGTAACCTTAATTAAATTCCTAGAAATATATATTTACCAAGGTATCTAAAATAACCAAAGGCAAAGAAAAGAAAAAAGGCAAAGAAAAGTCCTGTGCTTTCTAGACAGCCAACCTCTAGAATACAATGGTGAAATCAAGAAGAAAATTAGCTAACATTGATTAGTTCAATAACATTACATATTGAACTTAGTTCTAAGTATGAGGGTATAAAAAAAGAATACTTTTTAATCAGTTGAAACATAAAATGCAATCTGTTCCTGTTAATATTTAGTAGCCTATTTAATAAAATAATGTAAATCTTGTTTTCTACTCTCTAACTTAAAACTGTAAGTTTCTTTCTAGTAAGTTTCGTGCCTGCGATATTTTTACGAACTTCTAGAACTGACTTCTTAAAAGAAAATTTAATAAAGTATATCTATTTGGCACAATTAACTTTACAATGGTTGATTAACAAGTTTGAAAAAGATGGATATTCTGGAATTAGTAGAACGGTATTGGTAAAGAAAGGTATAAATACATATTTGAGGATGGAGCTCCTATAGATTTAGTAAATGAAAAAGGTATATAGCATCCATGTGTGAAGTTTGTGACGATTTATTAATTTTTCTTATAATCATTTTTTAGTGAAATGGCTTTAGGTAGGTGGAAAAAAAACTGGAGAAAACGTCTGTTAATTCTGTTAATCCAAGCTGAAGTGGAAAGTGAAGTCGAAGATTTATTTGCTATTGAAAACAACAAGGATGATAGTCAAGATATCTTTGGTGTCAATTTCGAATCTGATGAGAATTATGTAGAAGAACATAATTCCAATACTGGTACTGATGAAAGTGAACAAATTCATGATGAAGTAGATCATAAACCAGTTAGAAATATTGTAAGTTTAATTGGAATAGACAAGCAACATTGGTGTAGGGAACAACCCTCAAGGCATGGTCATAGAAGAGCAAGAAATATTGTTAGGAATTTTCTAGGTCCCAGAAAAAACCAGGATACCTACTTCAGGCAGATAAAATAAGTGGCATTCCTCAAGTTGAAGGCCTTCCAACACAACATCCCACAAGTTTAGTAAAGCAAACTAGGTTTTAGTTAGAAATACCATTTTAAAGCTAAATTAAGGTTAAATATTTTGAATTATGTTTCTGGTTTTTTAGAAAATGTTTTTTAATTACTTTTTGTATTGCTATAATTAGGTTAATAATAAATAGGTTATTTCAGGGTTAACATTTATTCATGTTTGTCGCTAAGAAATAATGTTTGTCAAAAGTAATCATACTAAGATGGATTTTAAATCTCATTGTAATAAGAGATACAGTACTTACTATTCTATACAATAGTGTATGTAACTAAGCAAATAAGCCTTTACTTGTCCATCCATATTCCTTAATTCATCTTTATCCAGTTCATCAAATTTTCTAATTAGTTCTTCTAAGAAAGTATCTGAATCTAATGGTACATGAAAACTAAATTCAATTAAGTCTTTGATATTGGTTACATGAGTTTTAACAATATTTTTATAAAGAACAAAAACTATGTTTTTATTTTCCAATGATCTGAATTGAGCGGATATTATTTCGATAAAATTCATTTTGAATTAAATTTATTTTAAAACAACTCACAACACACACATGCACTGACAATTGACACAACCATCACAACATTCCACAGTGTGGCCAGATTTATTTTCCTTGTGTCACCAACCCAATCACAAAATGTCGCCAATTTTCGACAGATGTCGCCACTAGTACCTGCAGATATAAATTATAGGAATTTTTTTTAAATTTGAATAAAATAACTTTGTTTATAAAGAAATAAAGACAGAACATTTTTAAAATATGTATTGTCGTTTCGTACAGGTATCATAATAATAATGGATTAACAAGTTATTTGCTCATTGAGGGACTTTTTATAATGGATGAAAATGTGAAATCTATACCTATTTATGAAAAAGTGACTTGTGTTAAAAATTATAAAATCGCCCAATTTGCTACTAGCGATTTTCTTAAATGTTTTGTCGCAAAAACTTGTTAAAAGTAGCCCAATTGGCGATAAATCACCCAATCTGGCCACACAACCAAAATAAAATATGTAAATATCTTCGGCAAAATTCGGTAGATTTCGGTAGATCATCTACAAACGTACAAACTTTTAAATTTGAAATTAGACAACAATGTAAACAAAACTATTTGGAATATAAATTTTACAATTCAAATAATACCTAATACCAGTAAACAAAAACAAACTTGGACAACAATCATACTAAGTCTGGGTGAAGTGAAAATAGCCTGAGCCTGAAATGAAGCTTGACAGAACGAAGTATTGGACTTTGGTTATGTTGAAATTTATATTAAAAATAAAACATGTGCAGTCAAAAGAGATAATAAATAAAAAATGAATAGTTTAGAATCATCTGAAGAGAAAATAAATAGTTTTAAAACAGTCTTTAAAAATAAATTAAATTAGTAGTAAAATTTAAGTATAAGATAACGGCATCTGTTGCAATCTGGTAACTGGTGATCATATCATAGATTTTTGAGAGTTCTAACTCCATTGCCAAATATATCCTTTAATCTGCCAAAGGGCAATTGCGAATAATTGTTATAATCAACTGCACTTAATATCAAAAGAAACAAATATTTATTTGTTCGTGTTTTACATAGATTAAGAAATTGCAGAATCCACAAGATAATCTATTAATATTCTTTTTGAAAGCTTTCTCTCTGTATATTTGAAGCATACAATATATACATTCTAAGGAAATGGCAACACTGCCAGACACAATATTTCGTTCTGTTCATTTTAAGGCATGAAATATGAATCACGATTTATTATTCTGTGCTTGAGTCCTCAAATGTCTCAAATGAAGCTTCATAGAACAAATATTTTTATTTACAGGAAGATTTTTTAATAATTTATCATTCATAAATTCAAGTAATTTTTAAATTTCCCAGTCGATTTGATAGATTTATTAAATGTATTATATAAACGTATTAAATATGCTACTAAAATTGTATTTGATATGTAACAAAAATAAAAGGTAAAATTGTGTTACCGAATTTATTTTTAAGTAAAATATAAGTGCATTATAGGCTAAGAGCACACTGCAGGATCACTACGGACATAACGTAGTTCATGAAAACCACTTTGGTACTAGTGTAATAAGCCGGAACCATGTTTACGGAGATGAAATTTATATCAATGAATTCTGCTTCACTTACTAATAATTGTGCAATGATTTTTATGCGGTGCAAGACGTTATTTTTTATGTAACTTCCATTTAAAATATGCCCGATTTTTAAAAGCCACTGCCATTATTCCCATTATTTACCATGAAACAACAAGAAATGACAACTGTTTCTTATGGTCAAAAATGATAATTTTAACCAGTGTTGCCAAAGTTACTCAAAATTATGTTTTCTAATGAAAAATAAATATTTACTTTCATATTGGACACTAAAATAACATTTTATTATTATCTACCTACTTTTAAATGAAAATTATAGTTTTTTTACAAGGGTCAGGTTAGATTTGGTTACGTTTCTTTACGTTTATTGTCATGTTTTCTTATGAAAAATAAAAAATTTATGCTAATAAATATTGGGGGATTCCCAGACAGACTTTTAACGGTTAGGTGCCAATCTCGGAATTATCTATATTTTTTTATACCGCGCAATACCAAAACGAAAATACCCGACCTTAATCGAATGGATGAAATTTCTTACATACATGCGTTGCCGTCTAGACGATAAATGATAATTTTATACGAAAATAGGATACATTTTGCATTAAAAGTGTACTTTAGATTTGCAATGTTTTTGCAAACATCTAAATTTGGCAATTGTGTTTAAAATATTTGTGGGAATGTAGAATAGGTGTGGCATTTTCAACTCATTTCTTGTCTTTTCGTGTTCGTTTTCGTTACTAAAGGAAGACAAAATGGAGTGTGGTGGTTGCGAATTAAGATTTACAGAAAGTTTCGGATTGTGCTTAAATCAGGGTAGTGCATTAGATTTTATGATTAAACACGGAATTATAAAAGACAAAATGGTACCTTGCAGAATTCTACTTCAAAGAAGATTTCCCGATAAGAAGGAGAGAATGCATGCATTCTTTACCGCTGCCGCATCGTTATATCCACCTAGTTATTAGGATTTTATCTACCTGTTATTTAAGGTAAGTAATTTTTATTAAATTTTAAAATTTAGGTATTTTAAATGTTAAAACTGGCAACAATGTCAAATGTACATAAAATTTAACTTCTTGTGCATGGCCGCCATATTGTATTGAAATATTGAAAATATTGATTATTTTAAACAATTTTATGCATTTTTTCATAATTTTACAGTAAAAAACAGTGATATTTAATATGTTTTAGTTACGTTTTTTTTATTAGGACATGTATATATACTTTTCTTTGCTTTTTATTTAATTTTTTTTTTTGGATCATAATACTTTTTTTGGTATTTTTTCTTGTTTTTTTGATTATTTGAGCGCTTTTAATGTTTAAAGCAAAGAAAACATTAAAATTTGAGGTTTTTCTCACTTTTTCGGCTAAGTCCACAAAAAATTGGGCATTTTTAAGGCGTTCCGGCTTAGTAAATAATTTTTAAAAACAGTGATATTTAATATGTTTTAGTTACGTTTTTTTTATTAGGACATGTATATATACTTTTCTTTGCTTTTTATTTAATTTTTTTTTGTTCATAATACTTTTTTTGGTATTTTTTCTTATTTTTTTGATTATTTGAGCGCTTTTAATGTTTAAAGCAAAGAAAACATTAAAATTTGAGGTTTTTCTCACTTTTTCGGCTAAGTCCACAAAAAATTGGGCATTTTTAAGGCGTTCCGGCTTAGTAAATAATTACTAGTTTACCCTAGTGGTACTAGTGTAATAAGCCGGAACCATGTTTAGGGAAATGAAATTTATATCAATGAATTCTGCTTCACTTACTAATGATTGTGCAATGACTTTTATGCGGTGCAAGACGTTGTTTTTTGTGTAATTTCCATTTAAAATATGCCCGATTTTTAAAAGCCACCGCCATTATTGACCATGAAACAACTAGAAATGACAGGAATGACAACTGTTTCTTATGGTCAAAAATGGTAATTTTAACCAGTGTTGCCATAGTTATTCAAAATTATGTTTTCTAATGAATTTCAAATTGGACAATAAAATAACATTTTATTATTACCTACTTTTAACTGAAAATTATAGCTTTTTTACAAGGGTCAGGTTAGGTTTGGTTACGTTTCTTTACGTTTATTATCATATTTTCTTATGAAAAATAAAAAATTAGATTTTTGTTTATATTACAAAATTTTATTCTTATTACTGCTTTTTTATGAGCGTTAGGTTAGGTTAGGTTGGTTTAGTTTTATTGTCATGTTTTCTTATTAGGTTAGATTTGGTTTATTGGATTGCATTTTTAATAATAAAATGTAAAGAAAAATATGAAATTAAAACTGGCAACAATGTCAAATGTACATAAAATTTAACTTCTTGCACATAGCCGCCATATTGTTTTGAAATATTAAAAATCTTGATTATTTTAAACAATTTTACGCATTTTTTCATAATTTTACAGTAAAAATAGGGATATTTAATATGTTTTAGTTACGTTTTTTTTATTAAGACATGTATATATATATACTTTTCTTTGCTTTTTATGTAATTTTTTTTTTATTCATAATACTTTTTTTGGTATTTTTTCTGATTTTTTTGATTATTTGGGCACTTTTAATAGTTTAAAGCAAAGAAAACATTAAAATTTGAGGTTTTTTTTCACTTTTTCGGATAAGTCCACAAAAAATTGGGCATTTTTAAGGCGGTTCCGGCCTGCGTTACAATTTAATTGCTGTTCAAGGTAAACGATTTATCAACTTGCTCAACTAAACTTGAGCAAGTTGATTAATAACATGATGAACAAATTCTTAGAGGAATTTAAAAACATGTTCCAATTACTACAACAAAACAGCATTGTCCTAAACATGCTGACAATGCTTATATCTAAAATTCAATAGCTTTAATAAAATAACAGTGGAATGCCAATGTTATTTCTACTACACAACGAAATTGAGATTCTGTTAATAAGGGAAAGCCATTTCACAAGTCAAACTTACTTCAAGATATCCCACTACACAACATATTCCTTAAACCACCCAGACAATACAGCCCACGCTGGATCAACTATGCTGATAAAAATACTATGAAACATGTAGAACTACCAAAGTATGCTGAAAATTGCTTGCAAGCTACAGTTATCAAAGTCAGTATGAGGTCTTACGAACTAACAGTCGGAGCAGTCTACTGTCCACCCCGATACAACTTAAAAAAATAAGACTTCAAAAACTTCTTCGAAACTCTAGGACATTAATTTATTGCAGGGGGAGACTTCAACAGCAAACATATATTATTTGGATCTCGTCTCTCAACAACTAAAGGCAGAGAACTAGTAAGCCTAATACCTGAAAACAACTACCACCCTTTGTCAACAGGTTCTCCTACATACTGACCAACGTGTCCAAAAAAAAACACATGATCTGCTTTATCTATTTATCACTCAGGGCATCTCTTCTGGTTACATGAAGTTCATGCCAAACTATGATCTCTCATCTGTCCACTCCCCAATACCGTCTAAGTTCACAATCCGAATTCATTTTCGAGTTGGTTCCTGTGGCAAGCGGTTTATCTTCATCAATCGGCGGTAAGTGGATTTTCAATTCACCCTTATCTATATAAAATATCTTTACACAGTGTGTCCTATATTAACTATTTTCTCTTTTGTCAAACAGACGTCTTCCAATTCGAAGAAACGAAGTCACTTCTGTTTGCTATTCATTCACCTCTACATTCGTCTCTACGTGCTTTTGTCTCATCATTTATCTCGTATTACTACCTATGCTGTTCCTGCCTGGCTGTCTCTTTTCGTCGGCCTAAATCAATTTGAGGGATTACGGATTGACGATCGTAATTCGTTGCTTGTCTTCCGTCCCAACTTCCTGTTGCAAGGACCGAATGTCAAGTGCCTTTATTGAGGGCGTAACGCCATTACCTGTATCCACCTGTCGTCTACTGTTTTGTGAATACCTATAAGTTTTATTGACTAAAGCTCAGATGTGATACCTAAATCGTTAGAAGTTGATTTATGACTCCAGTTTACCTTACTTATTTATGGATGTTTACTTTAACTCCAACCGAACGAACTATTACGAGTATAAAACTACAGTATAATATATACGTATAAATAACGTACAATTTGTTTTATATATAGGTTATATTTATGATAAATTTTATTCACAGATTTGAAGTGATCACGATCAAAAACTTAGTAACTTCATGTTTACGTATTCTCAAGGCGTAAAATTCCCTTATTTGACGAATATTGACGTAGATACAATTATAATGTTCCCTGCCTTTTTCTAATTCTTGAGGATACTAAATTATTCATAATTATTTTTCAAAAAGATATTTTTTGTTTGTATTTAATGATAAATTGTGCAATAACTTATATCATGCCATTTAACTGTTCAGTAAAAATTGTTATAGTGCATTTACTTTAACTAATATACCTCAATATAATTTTATTGACGAACTATTTGCTTTTTATTTTTTATTATGAATTTATATTTTTGTGTTTCTCTTCCAGGCATTTTTTATTTATTTATATTATTATTTGTTTTATCGTATATTTAGTGTATATGTGTCGAAATATTAGGAGTGTACCGCATAATCACGATACCTTTTCTCTCACGGTTTACTTTATTCTCGCGTGAGTATTTTAACTGTATCTTACCTTTCTCATTATCTTCTTCTATATGCCTTAAGGTTTCCCTGTTCCTCTAAAAATAGGGTGGTGCCCAAATAACTTCTCTTCTCTTATCTCCTAACTTCTCTTCTCTTCTAACTTCTTGTCTCTGTGTTGTCAGTACTTCTTTAACTGATCCGTGACATTTGAGCTGTAATAAGAACCCCGACCAAGATACCTCTACCAGACTGAAGCCCGAGTCTAGTACCGTTCTTTGTGTAACCCCAATCTATCATCAAAGAGGATACAAACCTCTTAAGTTGTTCGAAATCATCGGTCTCCTCTACGGCTATGGTCTGAAGCACATCTAAGGCATCTCTTCGAAGAGCGATAGTCAGGTTTACAGCCTTTTCTTTTTCAGACCATCCATTCGCTCTTGCAGCTGATTCGAATTGTTTCATGTTGTTGTTTCGACGATTTTCCGTCGAAAGTTGGGACTTTAACATGAACAGAAGCTCCACTTCCTTCAAATTTCGGCCGTCTTTCCAACTTACATTTCATCTCGTCTTCTTTTATCTCTGCTGTAATTGGATTGTTCTCTCTCTCTGCTGTCCCTGTTTCCTCCAGCTTCTTTTCCATCTCTTTCCATATCTTTTCTTCGAAGGCCAACATATCGGCAGTAACTTGGTTTTTTAATGAAGACATTCTATCGTCGAGGGCAGACATTTTAGAAGTGAGTTTAGATATTTCCAAGGAGATGTCGCCGGAAACTTTGTTCTCTAATGATGAGATGTCACCAGAAACTTTGTTTTCTATTGATACGATGTCACCAGAAACTTTGGAAATCGACGAGATGAGAGCAGCATGTTTGTCTTCAAATATATTCCGGTAGAAGCTAATTCTCTATCCTCGAGATGTCTTCTTAAATTCGTAACTGTGATCTCGTAAATCGTCGTCATTTTGACTATTTTATTTAAGATTCACTTCTGAACACCAATTTTAAGTCTTTATTAATTCTAATTTATTGTTTTTATTATTTATCAAAGGTTCTATATTTATAACACTTACAACTTAATTTAAAGTTTATTCATACTAATTCATCTTACACATAATTTATTTATACGAGCGTTACATTTAAATACCCATCGCGAATTTACCTTCTGACTGCTCGTTTTCTAAAAAGGTCCCGTTATATACCCATATAGCTGTTAGACTAGAATGTCTCGAAGGATATCGACAATTGGCGAAAATACTGGAAGGTTACGGGCTGGTTTTTCATTCAACCTATTTCCGGAACGTTCGAATGGATCGGTTTTATTACTTGGAATTTCTGCCAGCTAGTCGAAGGGTCGTAAAATCTAGAACATATTACTGAATAAACAACATGTTTACAGGTTTTTAATATGACTTATATTTTTACAAACAGAATAAAAGTAATTCCAATAATTTTCCTATAAATTCTGGTGTTCCACAGGGCAGCGTTCTTGGACCAATATTATATGTGCCATACACAGCAGATCTACCCTCCACTAATGAAACCAATTACAGCCGACGAAAATCCAATTATAGCATCTAACGTTCCACAGGTACAACTGGAATGAAATCGAGACATGGTCCTAAAGTGGAGAATTAAAACTAATGAAAAAAATCAGTCCAAGTGACTTTTACCTTGAGAAGAGACCCGTGTCCACCAGTTTTACTTAACAATATCCAACTTCCCCAATCGTCTAGCACTAAATACCTAGGAATACATCTTGACTTAAAACTCACCTGGAAAGAACAAATTCTTAAGAAGCGGAAATAAATTGACCCAAGATCTAGACCGAGAAAGAATGGCCTAAACTGGTTAGTAGACAGGAAATAGAAACTGAGCCTTAAAAACAAAATCCTTGTATACAAAACCGTCATAAAACCTATCTGGACGTATGGAATCCAATTCTGGGGATGTGCGAGCAAGTCAAACACAGCCATAATTCAAAGATGCCAATTAAAAATACTCCGAACGATAGCTGATGCTCCTTGATATGACGTGTCAAACCTAACACTTCATGAAGACTTAAGAATTCCGTTCGTACAGGATGTAATCACTAAATACAGCACGAAGTACCATGAAGCAGTGGAATCACATAGTAACCCCTTACTCCAATCTCTGCTAGAACACCAAGCAAATAGAAGACTCAAAAGGAACTGGCCAGCTGACCTGAACAACGGTTAAAGTGGTCTTGTCACTGGAAAAGACCTAACCACGCCAATAGGAGCCCCTTGCTCTGCAGTCAGCAAATTAGCTTATAGAACTTTATTTGTGTTTTAATTGCTAAAGAATGTGAATAAAAAAAAATCCGTCTGCCCGAACGAGATGCACGTACTTATTTTTTCAAGCGGAGTTGGCATTCTGATTGTTTATTGTTCTGTGATATTGTTAAAGAATTCTTTTAGCAATAAACTGTGCCAAATTACTAGTATATGTTTACAAAACATGGATCGGTTCACAGACTTGCATTTATTGACAAATGACATAGTAGCTTTGTTCCCTAAAAAATCCTGAACGTACTCCAGAGAACATAATATCATTTCGTGCTTAAACAACCAGAAGGTAGATGATTCTAATCACTTTGCAATTCTTTTGTTTGCCTAATGAATTTAAAACAGTCTTATTAAGTATTAGTGCTAAACCAAGTTCTCGAACAAACATTATTAAAAATGTAATCATTAATATGTATATAAAATATTCATAAATAAAATAATTATTATATCAATTATTTCGATATAGTTTCGATATTATGTATCCCCGTATTAGAGACTTTCCTGGTAAATTCTCAGTAGCTCTTTTAATCAAATTATTTTTGGGAAGTATAAAATATTTAGCTTTATTTTGGAAAGTTAGTTCACCGTTTTCTGTTTTATATTCTACAAATAAATGGCCATGTGATACTTCGATCATTTCATTCCTATGATCCCACTACCGACTATCCATAGTTCCAGTGTCCAGCTTTGTGGACAATTTGGTTTTACCCTTGGCAACATTTGTTATACTTATAATTTTTTTAAATATTTTATAGATAAATTTAGTAAAAATTGTTTAATTAAAAATTACATTCCTTTATTATATATTTTATATTATATTTTTATATATTTATATATTTTGTTAATGTGTAAATACTATTATTACAACTGATTATTATGATAAACCATTTGAGTGTATAATTAATATTTAATAACCTAATTACATTTAATAGTATTAATGTGTTACTTTAATTCGTTAATCTGTTAATACGAAGTTTTAACTACATTGAATAAACTATCTCGACTTTTGAAAAATAATCAACTTGGAAAATTATTTTAAATGTCCCGCCAATATGGAATTGTTTTTCAAAAGGAAGAATGTATTTTGATTGGTTTAATTTGTATATGACTCTTTGATGAACCAATGAACGAATTTCGCAGTATCTGCGCAGACGTATTACTCCTTTAATAGCAAAGTCGCCTGCTATTACCTCGTGCGACCGGCCATATTGTAGTGAATGATTGACTGAGTGACGTACGGCTAAAGTAGCCATAAATAAATCTTCCAACATCTTAAAGTTGCGAAGAGCTTTCCAATAATTAACCACCATGGAAAATACGTATGGAATTGGCATTGCCAATAGGTACGCTCTTTTTTTGGATGATGAATCCGATCCATTGGAAACGCTTACTTTAAAAGAGCAGGAAAAAGAACTGAAAAAGAAAACTAAAGTGGCCGAGAAAGAAAACAAAGTGAAAACACCGACCATACCAAAGGGAAAACCGACCCCAGCTCAAAAAAAACCGGTTAAAGATGTAAATCATAAGCCCCAGGAAAATAAACGCGACGGTGAGTATTTTTGTTATATATGAAGGCAGCCATTCTGTTCATGAAATAGTGTGCACATGTGATAATTCAGTTAATAACAATTGAGTGTGGTTGGAGAAAAAGTGTAGAAGTCCTACTGTTTGGATTTTAGTCAAATTGTCTTTGGTTTAGCAAAAATTTTTTGTATTATAATTCTGTAATAATTAACTTACGAAACGATGTTTAGACTTTCTACTCTACTACACACATTTTTATAATCAAGGTTGTAATATACTTAACAGGATTTAGTTTGTTAAATTGTATCGGTTTTGCAGACAGCTTCTAATGTAAAAAGTTTAATATATTAAGAAAGATACAAATTTTGAAAGTTAACAAAATACAAATAGTGATAAAAGTCTTAAAAAGAACTATAATTATAAAGCTTCTAATACGAACTCCTTGAATATTGTGTTTACTATCAAGATTTTCATTTCCAGCTGAAATAATATGCAGATCATGATTCACACAAATACAACAATCCACAATGGGCTTTTCATCTTCCAAGTTTAAGAACTACTCTAATAATTCTTTGTCAAAACACCTATACACTTTTAATGACAAAAATCCTTGCAGCATTTTTGTCTGATGTACCTACCAGGGGTCCTCTTATCTTTTAGACTGATTCTTTCGTATGCCTCCACATTGACCATCAAGTTCTATTGTGGTAATTTAATATACTTTACTATTGCTGTGCTTTCAAATTTGAGTGAATGAAATATACAAGCACAAGTCATAGTTGTATTATACTTTGTCAAGTTAGCACTGAAACAATAATTCTGATATGGGTTTTATGAGGTTTATTCTTTTGCAAAACATTTGTAATAAAATATTGCTTTCATCTAATTCGATGTCAAGTTTTAGTTCAGTTTTGTTGACTCTAGATGTATATTCCTTCAATTCAAAGGGTATCAGCAGTAATGTCTGTTTCAATTCATGGTTATCTATCTCTGATTTTTGTTTTTTTAATTATTATTATCTTTCTTTTTTCTTTGTGATGGACTCATATTCATATTTTGCTTTTTGTTTGAATTCATATTTTTGTGTAGCTGTTAATCTTCTGTCAATACATCGTCAAGTTATTTCTTACTTCTAAATGCTGTAACAATATTACTTGCATAAGCTAGACATTGATGTCTTTTGTGAAATAATAAGCTTGATGTGATAACATTTGCTTTCCTGTGTACTTTTTCTAAAACGAAGTTAAATAATATTGGTCCCAGTCATCCTCACCTAGATATGTTCAATACTGTCACTCTTATTTTCATCATATCATCTGCATTTTGTTATGACTTTTGCTGAATGAATCTATTAATGCTGCATATAACTTGCTCATTTGGACTCTGTTTACGCTTGTTTGAAATTAATAAAAATTATGTGTCCTTTTGATGTCAACTTTTTGCTGGCAGTTCTTTTAATACACATTTGATCTGTCACTACTGTATTTTTTCTGAAGCAACTTTGATATTCTTCTACTATCTCATTTACTCTATTTTTTATCATGGTTGCCAGTATTTTGTAAGGTATATTGAGTTGTCTATAATTTTTTTCAGTTCATGGCATCTACTTTTTTTAAAATATGGGGCATAGTGTTGACCACTCTTTGGTAATTTTTTCTTTCCTCTATTTGTTTTTCTGCCAACAGTTGGGTCTGAAATCCTCTTCTTTGTTTATACCTGTATGGAATGTTTTCCACTTCATTATTTTTAAACTTGTTCTGTATTACATAACATCATTTTTCTATTTCATGCTGTAATATTTCTATTGATTGGGTTTTCTTCCATACATTTTTTTATATTCTATATCAAACCAGTTTTTGTCACAGTGTGACATTTGGAATATTTTTCTATTACTGTTGTTACTATATTTTTGTCTTTTTATCTTCCTGGATCATATTTTTGTCTTCAGACAGTGCATGTATATTCATTGTATTTTCTTTTTGGTATCTTCTTCATATATTTGCTTAAGTTTTGTTTCCTGTAAGGTGATTACATTGAATTTGAGTATTTTGCATTAGTTAGTTACAAAGTCCTCTTTCATATATTCTTTTAAAATTCTAGGTTCCTATAAAAAAATTCTTGGTTTGTTCAGTACTTGATGTTGCTATTTGTCTTTTTTATTTGTGGTATTTCAAACTAGGTTCAGTTTTCTGTAAATTCATGTTGAATAATTTATATCTGAGGCAGTAGTACATGTCCTACTCCACTATAAAAATTATAAATGTATTATTGCTTTTTGAAATAATTTAATACCTAATTGATGTAATTTTATTCTTTTTGTCTTGACAAAAAGTAAACACAATAATTTATATTGCTCAATATTAATTGCCCTGAAATAGATAGTCTTGATCAATACTTGTCATCTTCATCCATCTTTTTTTTGCATAGCAAGTATGCAAACTGTAACAATATATCTACCTCTAAACATTGGGAGCCAATAGACCAATAAAACTCAAAACTTTGTTAGGCCTTGTTTAGCTCAGTCTCTCAGGTGTGAGAACATGTTATCTGAAGAGTAAATATGAAAAATGAGTTTGGCTAGGACAAATAAACAAAGATATTAACTAATCATAATATTCATTATACAAATTGAAAATTTTATTATTAAATTAAATCAAACAAAAGAAGTCTTACCTATAACTATACATATAGCTTTACATAAAAGATTTTTAAATAGTACTTATGGCTTCTGATGTTGTCTTAGTAGTAGTTAGATAGGATTGCAGAATGTAGTGGTTAGTTGCTGATGTAGCTGAATCTAGACACTTTCATGTTTGTATCTTCAAGTGGCCATTGAGTTGAGACTGTTCTGTATAATAATGTAACTGTAAGAACTCTGATTTTCACTATTTGGTGTCATGGCCAAATCTAGTACAAAACAAAAATGATGTCTTTTACAAATTCAGAACATTGTTCAGTCCAAGTCAATGCCAAGTCTTGTCTCACAGTTGGTGATAACTATTTATTTAGAATGAGAATAAAATATCTGTGTAACTACTTTTTCTATGGACTTTTAACTTTCAATTAAAAAAAAAAAAAAAATGAATTAACACCTTCGCTGCGTCACTAGTTGAAAAAGACTGGTAACTATGTTTGCAGAAATTACGGCTAAAAATAAATACATGTATTTCCATCAGGTGAGTACATACAAACGAAACGCTTTGTTAAAAAGTAACATTATATGTACCTATATTATTGTCTGAAAGAGATCTATCTAATAGAGGGATAATTTAGCACCAGTTGTATTCCACTGGTAATGCATACAAGTTATTTATTTTTCATTGTTGGATTCCCAGATGAATTCATCTGGTGAGTAATTTCATTTGTAATTACTCTCCAGAGTGTTACATGTACTTGTTTAGTTTAGATATCTGGGTCGAGTGATAACAGTATTTAAAATATTTGTATAAGAATTGAGTAAAATGAGTAGCACTGTTAAATTAGTAAATTTGGTGTTGCAAAATGCAACTACAAGTGGTAGTTGTGTAGAACCCAATCAGAAATTGGATCGGCACCAAGAAACAATTATAAATACTTGAGCGAATCAGAGAAAGAACCATTTAGAGACAATTAGGACTGTGATTCTAATTTACTACTAGTACTACTAGAACTAGTCCAGATAATGACAAATATAAATCAGTTCCTGACCATATACTGACCAAACCTGTAGGACCTGGTACCAAAAAAAGGCAAAATTGTATGGAATGTTACAAGAAGTTGAGTTAAAGTTACTACACACTGTAGCATATACAAGGGGAAAACCTGCTTTATGTTTACCATGTTTTAATTTTAAACACGATGCATAAATTTTAAAACTTACTATAATCTGTCTACCGAAAAAACAGAGTAAAAAAATGCATAATCTGCACGTGATTGTTGAAAAGCAACAGTCAAATTATTTACTTCACAGAATCAGTTATTGGTATTGTATACAAGGGCGTATGTTAAGGTATTTTGAAGAAATTTTGTGCTTTGTATTGAGTTATTGTGTTAATTGTATTTATTTTATATATTAAGACTTATATTGTGCATTGTACAATTTTGTGTTTTGTAAAAAAATTAGGTAAGTACATATACCAATACAGATATTGGTCAAAAAAGTATTGTGGATGTAATCACGCAGTGTATATATGAATAAATTATTTCTGAACCACAATTTTCTAAAATTTTCAGCAAAAAGTTGGTTAAACCTAATGTATCACCTAATGGCTGAAATGTTACAAAACATTCGATACTAAATTCATAAGTATTTAAATTAACATATTTTATCTCCGAGATAAAGTGGCATATTTTTTGGGAGATCTATTAATATGTATAGACATGACTGTTAGTCTTAATGATGATTCCGAAACTTCCACTTCCGACAGCGAATAAAATTTCTTAAAATCGCAATCAATTGAGACCAAACATTCTTGCCCTTTGACAAGTAAAGAAATGGAGATCGCCCTTAAAGATGTTTCACTGGGAAAAGACCCAGGTTTCGACAGCATCCACCCCGAATACATACTCAATTGCATTCAGAATCCCATGGGAATTTAAACATTCAAAATTCATAGCAATACTAAAACCAGATAAACCAGCTGATCACCCAAAAAGCTATTGACCACTTTCTTATAATATAAATCTTACAGTATAAACTACTTGAAACACTAATGTTTAAAAGAATCAGCCCAATGATCTGCAGCTTTCAATAAAGTCTGACCAGAAAAAATGATTTATAGACTCTTACGTACTTTGCCTTGCAAATTCACCACTAGACTAATAGAAAATATGGTCATCGACAAAGTATCTCAAGTAACTATAGGATCCGAAATAAGCACCCCCCAGAAAACTCAAAAATAATCTACCACAATATCAACCACAGACATACTGAAAATATCAACAAAGTTTGGCTATGCTGATGACTGTGCTTTATTAACACCAACAAATTCACAAAAGAAGCTGAAGAAATTCTGACAGAAGACCTAGCGATTATGGGATGATACTTTAAAAAATGGAGACTTCATGGCCTCTAAATCTGAAATAACCTACTTTAACCTAAATAACAATCTGGAGTCGAACACTACTTAACATCCTTTTGATAACACATGACTCAACCACAATAAATATTCAAAATACCTAGGTGTGGCTTTGGACAGAACGGTAAGCTTTAGAGAACATTTAAGTATAGTTTAGTAGTTTTTTTTTTCATTACGATGTACATAACATGTTTTTATAAAATAATCGTTTATTTCAATTTTTGTCTTAATAACTTTTTTGTATAATAACTATTTTATTTTTCTGGTACGGCCAAACCGTCCAAAACTATGAACGAATAGTCGATCAGCGCAGTAGGGAGGATAGCACTAATGACAGTATTATTTTTCTCTCACTGACCAACTATTTGCCACGAATTCTGACTAGTTTGACTGTTTGTAGGAATGACTATAATATTTCATGAGTTCACATGGTATTCACATGATAACTCACATCTGTTGGGTAGACAGATTATAATAATTAGCATTTGTTGTTTTTATATTTTATGAAAAATATGTATTGTGTTCTCAATAAAAGTTTTGGTTTTATTTTACTTGAAAATATTATGCACTTCTTAAAAATTTCAGATTTTGCTTTACCAAAAGGATTAGCCTGGTACTGATACAGTTTCCAGCAAGTTTGTATATTCCTTGTATGTATACAACTATTACTACACATGAACCTTTGAAAATTTACAGATAGATTACACTCACATTTCTTAAGAACTACCAGTTTATTGTGACTGTATCTAAATACATGTCTATGGTACCAGTCAATTACAACTGGTAAAACACACAACATAATAATTGTATTTTTTTGTAATTGCAGCGAAAGTGTTAATGAAGGAAAATATATTAAAAGAGGTTGATATTTAATAGTTCATCAGAAAAATAAAACTATATCTAAATCATCAATAAAATTCAGCAGGTCACAGTGGATGGTATTTTTATTTTGCAGATTCAAATAATTGAAACAGTTATAGAATATAGAATAGAAATATATGCTTTGTCACTGAAACTTGTACAGTTTAATGGACAAAGCTAGAACAAGCCAGGACCTAGAAAGTGTTGTTGAGCTAATGATGAATTGCTCTATCAATTCAGAGAGAATGAAGTTTTCACCACTTTTTTGAATATATATGGACCACACTCTTTGTGTCTTCATAAATTTGGGCCAGTGTAAAATATTTCTACACAATGCTTCTGTTTTTTTTTAACTATAATTTTTACAAATGAATTTATGTCATACAATACATTTGGAGATTTAACTATTCAATACTGAGTGAGGATTGAAGATAACATATTAAACAATAATTTTAACAGTTGCAAATTCAGCATTTGGCTGTTGCAAATTTAGCTCATTCCAAGCCTCACTTCGCTTTATTCCACTTGTTCAATAGTATTTTCAGATACATTATAGCTCTTATTAGAACATTTGTATGAATAAATAGAAACTGGCTAATTGTTCAAGTAATAAACCATTCAACATTATTAACTGCATTTTCACAGTCCTAAGGCATTAACAACTTAATGCACACATTAATTTTGAGTTTACTGTTAAAAAATGATCCATTTTTTTATTTCATAATTTGATTATACATATAAAATAATTTTGAAAAAAATGTGTATTATGTAATATACTTTTCCTTTTTTTGTTCCACCTGATTTAGTTTAATTTAGATTGTTAATCTCTTATTTTTTTTTTTCAGAAACTAAACCTGCCCCAAGAAACAATGTTGACGGAAAGCCCGAACGGTCCTTTAATAGATTCAATAATGAAAATCGTGAAGAAAGAAATAATAGGCGAAACCGTGAGGATAGACCATATAATGGACCATCTGAAAATAGGTGAGTTTGAATATTTGTTTTTATAGAAAATTATACTTCCTAATTAATAAAAAAAGCAATTATGTATCAGAATCATTACTTTTATTTTTGATGAATGGTATTTAATGTTTACTTTTTAATATCTTTATGTTGTCTAGATAATTATTTTAACATAACATTTATAATAGTGGAACAGTATTGAATATTAAGTTAATTTAAACATTTTTTCAATTTAATAGGTGTCTGTTTCAATTATTTGATTTCTTTTTATTTTTCTTTTAAAGCCATTTGTGTAATACTATTAGCTCAACTTTACATTAAAAGCTTGTCACATACCATATTACTCAATAAATCACAGGCCTGAATATATGGTGCCTTTAATAACTTCTATATAATTAGAAAATCATATTACTTATGAATTTTGTTTAACAATCTTAAATATATCTAATTTGTTAAGACTAGCTTATGAGGAATTTTTTTATGATTTTAAAAATGGCAATTAAACTAAATTACTTTTTGGCCTCTATTAATTTGGCAGGATCGCTTGACTCAATGATATTAATGTTTCAATATGTTCTTTGAAATTTTTCTGAAAAGATACACAGAAAATCAATTTTTCCTGAAAGGTTTTCCGACGAATTTTGACATGTGAGAAAAGGTATGCTCACTCATTGTATATGAAATATCCTACCAATGCCAATTATAGTCAATTTGCTCTTCTTAAGTCAAAATGCAATTGTTTGTCTGGTACATGCCGTAATCAATATGTTCCAGGGATAGATGGTCAGTTGAAAGACAATGTTCTAGTCACAGTTTACCAAATCCTATGTTTTACAGAGATCAGTCTGCTTTTAACGGACAAGAAACTGCTAATTTTTCCAAGGACTTCTTTCATACTGTTTGTACCCCTGGGGTTAATAACTTTCAGATTCCTAATATCCCCATCAATAAAATTGTTGGCACAAATTATAATGTCTTTGAAATCACTCTCATTGATATTTTTGATTGCATAAGTTCTCTTCCAAATAAGATTACTTCTGGACCTGATGGTGTTACCAATTTGCTTTAAAAAAAAAGTTTGTTTGCATTGTTACTATGTCTTTGTATACTTTATTTAATAATTTATTACAGTCATCTTTATTTCCTAATGTTTGGAAGGAGAGTTTTGTTGTACTGATATTCAAATGTGGTCAGAAAGAAAAAATTGAAAATTATCAAAGTGTATGCATTCAGTCTGCAATACCTAAATTATTCGATAATTTGATAGCTGAACAGCTATCTTGGTTATGCAGTGGACTTATCTCAAAGTCTCAGCATGGTTTTGTGTGCAAAAAATCTACCCTTTCTAATTTAGTACTATACACTACTGTCCAAAATTAACCCACCACCTTAAGGGCCGGTTCTACAATGCTAGTATATACTGAGAATAAAGTTATACTTGGAATAACTTCATTAATGGTGTTCTACAAACAAAGAATAAACTAGGAATAAGATAATCAGAGTATATCTGTAGAGTAACTTTATCCCTCCAAAGTTTAGCAGATATACCCAGTATAAATTTATACTGCATTTCTATTGGTCGGTCTGGAGTTGTCAAATCTGTAATATTTTAACCTCACTTTATTCCATTCAATGAACTGTGGTTTTGTTTGTTTTTATATATAAAATAAAATTTTTGATAATACAGAAACATTTTAGATTGTAAATCCAAAGGAAAAAGAAAGAATTTATTATTTCAATTCTAAGATTTTAGGATATGTATATAATGTAATAACCTCTACACATTTGACTAATATAGTATAGGTATAATCTTACCAAGGCAATATATTTTTTAATGTTTTGATAACAGAGACTGTAATTCTAGAATCTGTATTTTGTAAACATTTCTTTAACTAAAATTATACATTTTGTAATCCAATATTTATACTTGTTTAAAATGTGGAGTACCTATATAGATATATTTACATCATTTTGTTTATTATATTACAACACTAATCTCAGTTGATGATAATAAAAAATTTAAGAAGGAAATCTTACTCAGGGAAATGATTTTATATACAATATTCCAAAAATTTTACTACTTTGGCTTATAAATAAGTAGTAAAATATAAGTAGTAAAATAGTAAAGTAGTAAAATAGTATTACAAAAAGCCTGTCAAAATCAGGGTGTTGAAAGTAAGAGTGTAAATAAAGTCATATAAAGAGGGTAAAACCAAGGAGTTCATAAAAGGTTTTTGATTTTCACTACAGCACTGAAATAAAAATTGAGAAACCATGGGTTAGGAAATAACTTAAGTACAGAAACAGTTGCAATATATTTGAGATACAATAAAATGTTACAATATAATATCACTATTTTATTGATTCAATGCTAGAACCGCTTCCATGCAACTTATCTACTATCTACTTTAGTACAGCAGTTTGTGTATTTATTGAAGTAATCTTGTCTTCTCTGAAAATGTTTGCTGGAACAAACCTAATATAATATAATGTGAGTCATGAGGAACTATACATACTCTTACCTCGTATGGAAACCCCTATGGGAAATAACAAGTAACCAGTAAAAAGTGCAAGGGGAGTTGTTATTTTATAAAAACTTGATATTCCGGTTTGTCTAATTTGTAAAATTTTTGTTAAAGTTTTTAAAAACCATAGTTTGAGATTCTTTCATGAACAGAAGAAACTATTTTTTTTTTAAACCGGACCTGACTTTATTTCTAGTTTAAATGTGATGTTTAGTGACATGTTTGACCAAAATATGAGACACATCAAATTTACAATTCAAAAGTTATGATGAATAGAAGTCAGTCAAAATTGACAACTCGCAGTGTATGTTATTAAACAATGAGAGCGAAACTTTTTAATGGTCATTTGTTATTCCCCATAGGGTTCTTCATACAAGGTTGGAGTATGTCCTGTATTAACTAAGTACTAAGTAAATATTTTACACTTTATTTCTCAACTCTTGTTTTAAAATGTGAACTTCAAACTGGCATATTGTCTCTTTGTGGTTTTCTTCATGGACTCCCACTTGCTTCGAAGCATTTTAGCTGTCCTTCCTGTACCACAATTGGAATTAAATTTTATGGATAATTTTAACCACTCCTTATCTTTCATGGCACTCGTTGTTGTGTCAGTTTTCTTACATTCTAAAAGCAAAATTAAAATAAATACTTAACCCATAGATACATATTTTTTTACATACCTATTATTTCTTTATGTTCTTCAAGTAAACTCACAAGCATTTCAATTTCTGTATATGTAAAATGTTTACATCTTTTTTTATCCATTTTATATTAATTTTGTAAAGTATAATAATATAAACGTAGATAAAATACCAGATAAAGCCAATCAATTATTCAATTCCTTTCAATTGTAAACAAATTTTACAGTTATGACAAATGAAAAATGTCGCTGTCAATAACAATTTGAACTAATTTTGAAGATATCAGAGATCTACTATTTTGTTTTACCTTAGTGTTCTGTGGTTATACCCAGAATAACTATTCCGCTGTCGATTTCACAATGTAGAACGCTCGAAAGGTTATCTTTGGAATAAACTCAAGTATAAGTTATACTCAGAATAACTATTCTCCAATTTATACCTGGATTGTAGAACCGGCCCTAAATGTACCATAAGTTTGAAGCTATTTTTCTTCTGAACAAATGATTGGATTTTGATGATTTTTTTATGTTATACGTCTATCTCTAGTAAATCACTGTATTAATGCTTTCTAAAAAATATCAACGTTCTACCCGTATACGGGGTGTAAAAATAAAGTTGTGTTTTTTCATCGTAATTTGCAACAGCCTGTGCAATTTAGTAGAAACAAACGCTATTAATATTTTAAGACAGATTTATCCTTTCTTAATATCTTCTATCTTCTATTCTGTAAAAAAATTATCTTGATATCCCTATTATTAAAGACTGTACAGAATTTTAAATGTAACAAGTTTTTATTAACATTTAAAGCAAAGAAAACATTACTTACATAAACTTGACATTTAATACAAATGACTTACATATTGACATTTAATACAAATAAAGTCTAAGAAAACAACCTAAATAATCAATTCTCTCTCCCAAAACACTTAATAATGAATATTTCCACCACTACATCTAATTACTTCTTCACAGTGACCAGGCATGCTTAATCAATTGGCCTTGATCAATTGCATTCTGAACTTCTCTTCCATAACTTCTATGTCGTCAAGGAGACAAGTGGTGGTTGTCGGCTCCTGAGTTGATGATCAATAATATCCCACAAATTTTCTATGAGATTGAGATCAGGGCTGCAGGGTGGCCAGTTCGTGGTTTGTATTCCAACCTTGTCCAAATATTCCACGGACCACATGTGTAACATGTTTTTGAGTGTTATCATGTATTAAAAGAAAATTATTTTTTATATAAGGAGCAAATGGAACTATATGGTTAGACAAAATCTCTAATATACCTTTCACTTGTTAAGGAACGTCTTCATAACTCAACAAGTTGCGTTCGTGCTGTAAGAGATATTCCTCCACAAATCGTTACAGATCATCCATTGAATAAAGTAATAGGTCGTGTGTAGTCTTCTCTTGGCCGTCGAATAACTCTCACACATCTATCTGAGCTATATAAGCAATACCTTGATTCATCAGTGAACAACACATTCTCCCAGTCATTAACATTTCAGTCAAGGTGCTCTCTGGCAAATTGTAATCTACTTCTATGATGATTTCTTCACAAGTCTTGTTCAGTGAGACACCTTTGTATAGTGTTTCTACTAATTTGAATATTATTAATATTTGCCACTTCTATTTGTAAATGTCTCATTGTTAGAAAACATTCTCTTATAGCATGAAGCCTGATAAACTGATCTTGTTGTGGTGTTGTGAGTTTTCCTTGTCCACGCCGTCTCGTATGGTCGTTTGTTTCTCGAAAACGTTGAATGACTCGTTATATTGTAGTATGAGATACTTCTAACCTCAAGCCTATTTCACGATAAATGATAACACAACCCTACATCAGCTAAAATAATTGCATGAACACATTCATTTCCGCTTATATTTCTTGAAATATGTTCCATGTCAACTATATAACATACGCAAAATAGCAAAACAATTTTTTGAAATGTAAACAATAGTTTAATAGTCAGTTTAAAACTGTCCTGTCAAATTGTTTGATTTCTCATAGCCAACTAACTGCTTCCATTAATGAGTATTACAATTCAATAAAATCATATTATGCTTTAAAAGTACTTTTCTTTTTGATAATAAAGAAATCAATGATTTTTTTACGAAAATGTTGAAACAAATTAAGCTTTTTCAAAATATTAATAAGACATTTGTTTTTAATAAATTCCACAGGGTATTGCAAAATAAGATGAAAAATCAAATTTATTTTTACACCCCGTATAAGGGCGAAACATTGACATTTCCCAGAAAACATTAATACAGTAATTACTTAGAAATAGGTCTGCAGTGTGAAAAAAAAGTCATTGAAATCCAATTAAGGATTCAAAAGCAAAATAGCTTAAAAATTAGAGTATGTGGTAGTAAATGAGAGTAAATGTGGTAGTAAATGAGAGTAGAGGTAAATGGTAGAGTTGAGGTAGTGCGTTAATTTTGGAGAGTAGAAAATCACGTAATACTTGAACCACCTTTCCTTTTTTGACAATAAAGATATCAAGATGATTTTTTTACGAAAATGTTGATAAAGAATGAGGCCATCTCGAAATATTAATAACAAGTAGCCTTTGTTTTTAATACATTTTACAGGGTGTTGCAAAATAAAATGAAAAAACACAACTTTATTTTTACACCCCATATATAGGTAAAACGTTGACACGTCTCAAAAAACATTATAGTAAATAATTAGAAATATACCTATAATGTGAAAAATTAATCATTGAAATCCAAGTAAGGGTTCAAAAGAAATGTAGTTTCAAAATCATGGTCCATTTTAGGTGGTGCGTTAATCTTGGAGAGTAGTATTTATGTATATACCGATTTCAGTAAAGCATTTGATTGTGTTGATACCACAGTAATTTTCATTGTAGACCTTGATAAAGGTGGCAAATAACCACCGAAAGCTCGGAATTCAGAATAAATAGTACGCCTTAGCAAAGCTCTATTTTTTATTGACTACCACACCCAAAAAGAAAAAAGTATTTACATATATTTTTTCCAAACTAGTCAAAAAACTTTGGACTACCTTGTCTATATATATATATATATATATATATATATATATATATATATATATATATATATATGAATGTATACAGATTGGACGAATTTAAAACGGATCATACAATTTAATATATGTCTGTTTGAACTGCATTTGAAATAGTGGACAAATATAAAACTTGGACAAAAATAAATCCATACCTGGGTTTAGACATTGTATAAAATATCGTTCTCTATCTGTATCGCAGCAATGTTTGCGTAACAATGTTGCCAATCGCCGTGTAATAATCCGATTTGCGGATCTTTTTGAGAGTTATATCTTCTTCGTATCTTTAAATAAATTGGATATTTGCCTATATTTTTCATTGTATTTACCAATCTACTACAACAGACTAATAACAAAAATAAACTTAATGGTTTGTAGTTATTTTCTTTTTTTCTTGTAAATATTTTATGGATATCACCTTATTTGAGAAACATTTAAAGGAATGACGTTGGCAACACCACTCACAGAAGGGCTTATCTAAAGAAGCGATAACTGGTTTGACAGCATAATAAAATCGTAGATTTATGTGTAGCTTCTAATTTTGATGATTTCAGAATCCAGCAGCCCGATGAAGTATTGGATTTTTATAATATAATTATTTGACAACCTTTTGTTGGCCAACCACCTACAGCAAAATTGAGCCGAAATAATATTTCGTATGTTCCGAATTTATTTCGTTCAATCTGTATATATATACTCAAAATCGCCCAAATTCGCGCTTGGCAATTTCTGCCTTTCACCCGTCGATATGTACTGTGTATATGATATGAGCCGTTGAAAACCAGAATGGCCTAAGTCATGTATTTCATGTTACACTGTGTAACCGTGTTATATTTTGCTACAGAGTTTGAAAAATAGTGCATCCAGAAAACGCTACTGTAACTTTAGCCACGAAGACAAGGTGTTTCTGTATGTCTGAGATGAAACTACTGCCTCTCGAGGAGCACAAGAAATAGGATCTTGTATTCGAAAGTATGTTCTAGAACACGCAAAGGACGCAAGACACATTATTGCATTTAGTGATTGTAACATTCCTTTTTCCCAAGTAATCGCTATTTTGGCATAATCGAACAGTTCGCAAAGAATAAAGCCAAAGGATATTGAACGCGAAGTGTCGCACAAAGAAATACTATCGTCTTTTCAAGACAGAAATAATTTTGTATCCTCACATGGAAGCAGCTGTTATCAGACGAAGAAAAATGAAGATAACGTAACAATTTCGAAAAAGTGATAATATTTTAAGTTATAAATAAGGAGTTTCCTTTTGATGCCATAAACTTGCAACCTGTATGAAAAGAACATATTGCAAATTTTGAAAATATTGAATTTTCAAAACTGTATGAACCTTTAATACCAATTACTTCTAAGGAAAAAAAAAAGGATACGGAAGATCTTTTGGCGGTTATACCGCCCATTCGTTTTCAAAAATTTCAACACAGCGGAAGTAGTCCACGTTCTTTATGAATACGAAATTAATTTGTAGATCATATACAGAAATACACTATCGTTTGTAATTCTTTTTTTTTTTTTGCTTTTCTCCAAAATATTGAACATACTGAAAACCAGAGGGATCGAAGTCAAAATATTTTCAAAAAATATATAAATTTCGAGTGCTGTTGAATTCTTCTTTTAGTATTGGTAACCAAAGCCTGTTACATTCTGCTGGTGGATTTGCTACAAATCTTTCTCCATTAAGTATAGTGAGAGCTGCTTCTTTGACTTTCGCAGAATTTTTTAAAATAATCTTTTTTGAAAACAATTTCCGGATTGGATATCGAAGCGTCAAATATTAGTTAAAAATGTAATTTTCAGTACAGTCAATTGTGGCTTAATCCCAAACATAATATTTAAACTCTGTGCAGTGTGATACTCATTGTAATATTACTTAATATTAGATTCACTACATAATTTTACTGATTTAGATGCAATAAAAATGAATATGGATTAAGAAATATCATCTAAAATGAATGTGACATGACAAAATTTAGTAAAAGCGACATTTAAATATATATTTTTATATCCTTACATAACCAAATATTTTTCAGGGATCGTGAAGAAAGGCCTAGGAGAGAACCTGCGACTGGAGATTTTGAAAACCGCAACAATCGTGATCGAGGAGAACGGCGTGAAGGACGCGAAGGACGTGAGGGACGCGCAATTGGAAACAGACCCGGTGCACCACGTGGCCAACGTAGGAATTTTGATGGAGACAGGCGAGGCAAAAGGGAATTCGATAGGCAGAGCGGATCAGACAAGACGTAAGTTTATTTTAAATCATAGATCTTTAGTATCATTATCATCTCTCATCTTAAAAAAGAAAGCCCTTTTATTAGCATAGCAGTCTTCAAATAATTTGTGTTAACCATGTAACAGACATTGGTCCCCTCAAGATTGTTACAATCTAGTATGTATTTCATTAAGAGTCTTTCATTAACTCCTAAGAATACTTGCCACTGAATCGTAACAAAAACAGAACGGAACTCTTGGAAGATAAATATAATCCAAGAGAGAACAGAACAGACAAAGTCAGGAAAGCCAGAGTTGCCAGATGCGATTTTTTAAATCCCCCACTTGGAAACTGAAATTCCCCAAATTTAAGCTCAAATCCCATAAACTTAAAATTTTGTCGCATAATTACAATTACAATTTTTATAAATTTGAAAAGACTGTAGACTGACACACACTGTACTATAATTTTTTATACAATTTATGCTAAAATGATGGATTAGAATAATTTTTCATACTAAAACAATGACAACAATGTTACTTCACGATTAAAAAAACTGATGTCACCAGTGATGTCACTTATATCACAGCCACCTAAAGTTACTTTAGATGGCTGTCATGGACGTATTATACGTCCATGATGGCTGTGCTTATACTTAAAAATTAAAATTAAATTGAAAAAACATGATTAGAAAAACGGACGTCATTGATAATGAGTAGAATTGGAACGACGAGGCTGTGAATCCCATATTTGTATTAACTCATTAATTTCCAAATTTCTTAAGGCCGTATGACACTATGCAAGTTCTTTTACCAGAAATTGTATGCGATTTGGAACATGATTGGTCGAAATTTTGACACCTATAAAAATAGAACTGCAGTACCTGGAGGACCCCAAGCTACTGGGGACTAAGGACAAATGCTACTGATTATTTTTTTAAATATTGTGGTGCAAAAATGAAAGAAATAAAATGTCCCAATATTAAAACTAAATTGGAAACCACAATTTTTGAAGATATTCAACAGACTGTAATGTAAGACAGAAATAATAAATTATTTGGTTGTAATAATTTATTTGTTTTTTAAATTATGTGTTTGAATGGAATGCTCTTGAAATTCTACTCTCTCATTGGAGATGTAAAATAATCTTTAAACTCATCACTAATTTGTAGAGAGGTTATGTATTGTTTTTAGTAATACATCTCCTACTTTCAGTAGTTCCGATGCTGTATGATCCAATCCCTGTGATTTATTGTTTTTCAATTTGGCTACTGGATGTTCTAATCTTGGTTATGTATACTTTGTATCAAAGTTCTCCTCCATCGGCTCCAGCCGCCAATATGACAGAAGTTTTTCGATTTTGCGGCTTTGCGCACAAATTGGCGCATTTCTTGTACAAGAAAATGCAGCGGACACAAATTCTTGTATCGTTTCTGATATAAGAAACTATACGCTTGTATGACACTATCCATTTTTTTCTTATATCAGAAACGATATAAGAAGTGATACAAGAAAATGCATAGTGTCATACGGCCTTTAGCATTCCGTTTTAGTTATATTCTGTATTTAACGTCACTTTAATCCACAGCCGATATATGGAAGTACATATTTCTAAAACTTACATACATGACCACACGACGGTGGTCTATTAAGACAAAATGATCTATATATCAAAACTAAAGGCCTATATTTTTGTAAAATATTTAGATAAGTACATTTTTTGGGTGCCTTAAAGGTATCTATACCGACAAAACCAGATATAAATAGAATAGCCTTTTCTTCCAGTTCTATGTACATTCGCAAATTTAATTAACAATGACCACTGACCACCTAAAATCCTCCACAATTTTTTCCCCAAAAAATCCCCCATCCGTTTTAGCTCATAAAAATTCCCCCAGACGCTTTAAAATTACCCCAAAAATGGGGGGAAATACCCCAATCTGGCAACTCTGAGGAAAGCCGAGATCCACCGGCGCGTGGAGTGTCAATCCTCGCCCCACCACGGTTGGCGCGTCGAAATATGGTCGGGCCATTCCCATGGAGTATCGAGGTTTTGAAGGATCACAGATTGGCTAGATCTGCCCTTTTCAACGGCGCGGCGCGTGAACTGGCAAGATTGGAACGATAATTTACGAGACATTGGATCCCGGCTTCGAAGGTTAAATGTGATAAACAAGAATAATCAATACGTATTGTAATTTTGTAGGATTTACAAGATTTTTACTAGCTACAACTATTCTTCATAAAGTATTTTTGCTTGATTTTATTTAGAACTCACTAAAAGGGCAAGATATATCTATTTAGTACAGCATCGTTTTCCTTCTAGCAGTGACTACCCTACATCTGGAATGTTTTGTCATAGAAAAAATAAAAGCGAACAGTAAATTTGACAATATATGTGACCTGGATAACGATTACACCAAAAAGGAAGTAGAAGTACTTATAGAAATATTTCCTTCTTGGGCTTCTTAGATAATTCTAAAACATTGTGATGAAATTGTTAATTTTGATAAAAGTTTAAATTCATTTCTAAAAAAATAATGTCAGAAATTTTGTAAATTACTTTACTAAACTTTAAAAATTTCAGATTGGGGTTTACAGCATATGACAAATGAGCAAATTTGTATTAAACTTTTTTGCATTAGTAACTCTACTTAACTACATTTTTCTGAGGTACTTCAGCTCTGCGTGCATTTTCAAAATTTTTTGTATGGTTAATTTTTATGTTCATAAATCGTTTAGACCAGATGGCATGTTCAGTTTAATATAAGAGATATTATAACTAATTTTTAACATGGGGCGTATAAAATGTTGCATTTGAGTGTATATTTTATTTTACATCTAGAGATTTGCTTTTTGTAAAGATAGTAAAACTCAACTTGAAGATTTTCGGCTCTGTTGGTCAGCTGGAAAGCACACTCCGGTGCGAGGAGTTATTGTTGTTTATTAAGCTTAATTTTTTTATTTAAACATATTAGTTTAAAATCGAAAATGGATCTGTGATTCATTGAATTGATCCTTGAATTCATTGATCCCTACAGGAATGCGGTAAGACCTTAAAAACACAGAATATAGATAGGTATTTTGCTTTGAGGTAATTAATGTAAAATATTCTGTAATATGATAAATAAAATTGACAAACGCGGCATATATTTTCAGACATATGAATATAATATAGTGTAAACTACTTTTGAAAGCAGAAAAAAGTACAGATGCGTATCTATGGATATTATTCCGCTCTGAAACATCTGAATAATCCACTTACAATGTTGTTATTGATTTTTTCCTCATCAGTGCACTATGTATTAACTCAATAAGATATATTATCAAAACACCTTCGATATCTAAGAATACAGCAAGAGTGACTTCGTTCTGTTGTTCCTTTTGAGTTTGGACACCAAACTGTGGCTTTACCTGATTTCCCTCCTTGATATGCCCATTGCTAGTGTAGTGGGCTTTTATTAAGATTGTTTTTCTTGATGTATTCGTTCAAGATTTTTTCCATGGCTTTTAACATGAATTAAGTCAGACTGATTGGCCTGTATGATTTTGCTTAGATGTAATATGTTTTTCCTGGTTTAGGAATAAGGTCCATCCTCCCCCAAGCATTGCTCCCCCCATTTAAGCTCGTAATGAAAGTTTCGTTACAGAATAGCGGTTGTCTTCGCTTATACTGCTTGAAAATTGATTGACTCATGCCTGCGAACCTTTTAGGGATGTTTAATACTTTTATTGCCATTTACTTATTTAATGGGAAATAACCACAATATTAATTTAAAATATATTTGTTTTGACATATCCACAGAAAATTATTTCCAGAAAACGTCAGAGTAAACGTATTTTCAATCAAAAATGTGGTTCTTTCTCATTAAAAATAGTAAATGACAAATGCTACAAGATAATAGGTTCAGAACTTCTCGTGTCTGACAGAACGAAATATTATTGAATAAAAACTTTTTTTATTCAATTATGAAACACTCAATCTTTATTCATATGGGAATATTTAGTTTGATCAACCCTAGGTTATTATTTATGCAAAAACTTTTTGTTATCATTTAAGTAATAAAGAAAAGTAACCCCATTGTATTAAATTAAAATGTTAGCATTAAATTTTGAAAATTTGGTTATTGAATATATTAAAAGAAATATGCCAACTGGTATCTTATTTTTGTAAAAATATTCAAGTTTGGTAATATTACCTGAATACTGAACGCAGCCATGGTTACAGAGGAGTTAAGCCGATCGACAAGCGTGACGGAGCTGGGGCTCACAATTGGGGATCTCACAAGGATGTTATTGAGTGAGTTACCATTGTAAAATTTATTAGAACTACTGTTTACAATATTCTTTTAAAGGGAAGCAGACAGGCCTAATAATGACGCTAACGAAAGTTGGGGAGACGAAGTTAAAATTGACCCTATTGAAACGGAAAAGAAGTGAGTTTGTTGTGTTTGCTTGATGCCTTGCACTTACGTTATGTTGCATAATTTACTTGTTTTGTGGTTATTGCATTTGGATATGATTAGTTTACAATTAGGGGATGGAATTAATAACAATATAGTTGATATTAAAAATAATTGTTTTGAAATTTCGGCGATATCAAAAGGAAGAGCAACCTAGAAGATCATGGTATTCTCATAAGAAGCCAGTCATATATCACATCTATTTGGAAAGGATGCTTTTGAATTTTTGAGTAGCCGAATATTAAAAAAAATGGTGCAAAAACAATTATTTTTAATTGAAACTATATATTACATTACAAGAACATAATTCACATCTAAATACAGTCATCTAAATACAAGTATTTATATGTGAATGGTGTTAATAAAAATTAATATGTAGTAAACTATTTAGTAAATTTGACATAAATATACTTTAAAAAATAAGTTATGATAAAATATAGTTCAGTCTAAACAACAAGCGTCTAAATAAGAAAATTAATCTGCTTTGCATACTTGTACATCGCTATACATATTAACAAGGTACTGGGTTATTTTCAGATATACTTTTGTGAACATCCAATAAAAAACCTATATCAAAAATATGGTATCTGCTACCAATAATCCTCTTAACCACAACTCATCCATGCAACTTTATGGGCATACATACACACAAATATCCCTGATATTATCCCTGATCTTACAGTTCCTATCACGAAATCTAATATTTGTGAATATTTTTTTTTGCAGGAAGGAATTGATGCAAAGACAATTATTTTTAATTTACACTATACATTACATTACAAAAACATAAATCACATCTAAATACGGTCCTAATTAATATGTAGTAAATCCTTTATTCATTTGACATAAATCAGCTTTAAAAAAAGGTTATAATAAAACTTAATTTTCTTTGCATCGCTAGATTAAAAAGGTACTGGGTTATTTTCAGATATTTACCTATATAAAAAATGTAGTACCCGCTACCAATAATCCTATTAATTACAACTCATCCTTGCAACTTTATGGGCACACAAACACAATTATCCCTGACATTATCCAACCATTTGATCTAACTGTTCCTATCACGAAGTATAATAATTGGTGGACGGTTTTTTTGTAGTGAATTATGTATTTTTTTAAGTATCTGTATTAGGGGCGGCTGTGTATATTTAAGTTGATAAAACTTTAAATATATAAAAATATTTATTAGTTTACTTTTCAAAAACAAAAAAAAAAATAGTCAGTTTCTTCAATTGGGATATACAGTGGACCCTAATATCAGGTAAAATTTTGATTATTTTAAAATTTTTCTAAATACTTTTATTTATTTTTTCTTTTTGGAATGTTTAATGTGCATTATACAACAAATTTGTGATTGCATTGGTAATTTTAGTCGTAACTTCGAGGAACATAAGTTTTTGCTCTGCAGAACTATTGTATGTATACAAGGTGACACTTTGAAAATTTTTCGCACTTAATATTTTCATTTCGTTGAACTCCATTCTAATGGTAAATCTTACTGTTACAATTTTAAATCGGGAGAAAAGTGACACATAATTTTAAATGACGTTTAATTTTCCTTCCTGTGGTAGCCTTCTTTAATATTTTTGTGTTATGGCTCTTACTCGTAGAGAAATACGTACCAGATGTGCATCCCACCTCTTCGTAACCTCTATATTGAGTAATTGATCTGTAAATACCCATATTGACACTCACGGATGTGACAACTATCGGTGATTTTCAGGTCAGGACTCTGTCGCCTGAACTTCATCCAGATGGTTAACCTAAAAAATTTTTTAATGTGTTAAGTGAAGTGAAGTCACTTTATACTTGGGAAGTTTTTTAAAAATTTTGAAGTTTTTTAATTGTTGAAGAAATTTTGTATTTTTTGAACAATGTCCCTCTTTAGTAGAGGTACTTTTAAAATGTTTGACCATAGCTCTGAGGATGGCTTTTCAAGCCGACAGCGCTCAGCTAGGAATTAAATACATTACATACTAATTACATACTTAAAATACTTGTCTTTTTGTTTCATTCATTTGTCATAAGTGTACAAAATCATCAGTCTTTTTCAATATAAAAATGAGAGAAATCAAGAATGTACTTTGCAAGGATATGTTTGCAGAATATTTGACGTTGCTATTTTATTGCAAGGCCAGATGGTTATTGTGTGGGACATTTTTACAAAGTGCTTATGAATTACAAGAGGAAACTGTCACTTTTTGTGAATGAGTGTCAAAACATACAATTAAGAACAGTATGTGATTGTTTTTGTAACAATATAAAGCCATTTATCTAGGTTTGCACAGAATTTTAAAGACTATTTTCTTTCTGACGACAAATGGGTAGCAAGTTGAGATTGGGTTAGCGGTTCATTTCGAACTACTTCCGAAGGTATCTCAAATGAAGAAATCTTCATAGACTTTGCAAGTGGCGAAATCAAGTTTATTACTACATTCTCTGTTTATATATATATATATATATATATATATATATATATATATATATATATATATATATATATATATATCTTGCCATTTTCAAGATCCACCTTTGCGAAGCTGGGATTATCTGCGGTGGTTGGTGGTGAAAACAAAATTTACCTGTTTTCGATTGTTCATGATATTTACGAAAATGAAAATATTTACGGTGGAAAGTTTTTAAATTCTCATCTTTTGTATAGTTTGCGACGATATATAGTTTTCCGGATTTATAGGCTTTTCTTACAGTTTGAGACTTAACGCCAGGAAAAACTACTTTATAGTAAAGATCTATAAGCCCGTAAAACATTGTATCTTTGCAAAACGGCTGTGAAAGCCTACATTTTTTGATATATCGACGGTTAAATGTTGTAACCTTATAAGTCAAAAATTGTTGGATTTATTAGGAGTTTGGTTGAAAATATTGTTCCGAATGTTCTGACAAAACCTTAAATCCATGATAACTGTGTTATTACATGTTTTTTTCAAAGTAATAATTAAACAAATACTAAGAGAAAATGTGTACTAAGCATCGAAATTTTTGTGCTCTCCTAAAAAGTTGTAATTTTGATTTATGAGGTTTTGATATTTAACCATAGATATGTGGTTAAGTATCAACTATAGACTAGAGAAATTAGAAAATAAAAGAATTTTGCGTGACACTCTTTGATACAGGTATCTAAAAACTGCTACTGATAAATTTGGTGGTAACAATACGTAATAGACAATGTAAGATTGCTATTTTATATACTAAAGGTGAAGACCGGTAAAGCATATAGAAAAGTGACACAAATTTACTGAAAATACTAAATATCAATTGATAGTATTTTTATATTGATAATAGAGAAAAACTATCACATGTATTCAGTTAAAAAAAATTCAAGAAGTTTCACTTCATTGCAAAATTGAAATTGTTTATCCCAGAAAGCTCTTGTCCAAAACGGTATTAAGCGTAAACTATTTCTGAAAGAACCAAATGGAAGAGAAAAGCCTATTTTACCCAATTAAATAATTTAACGATTAATAAAACTATTATAAATATTGTAAAATAGGTTTACAAAAGTACTGTGATGTTAAGCTTACGAATATAAACATTTAAAATAATTCAGAATAATCAACATATAGGAAGTTGAATGTTTTTATTCGAAATGTTGACATTTTCAAACGAATTTAAAAAATACAATGTCCGAACGTAGAAACTTTAAAACCCGAATTAGTTTTTGTTTTATTTCTCGATTCCACTATTTCAAAAACTGAATTCGAATTTATTAGCGTTGCAATGTCTACTGTTTTAATTAACGAAAATTTGCTTTTTTCTCGTTGCATATATTATAAAAATTCAATTATTTGTGAATTGTTTATTTAACGGAGTAATTTGTTTAACGCAAAATCAAAGTTTTTTGTGCATTTTTAGAAAAGTTATTAATCATTTTCAAGAAATTAACTTTTAAAGCTATTTTTGCAATAACTAAGCAACGAATTAACAAAAATAACTTAACAAACTCATTTTAAATAATTTTCTATGCTTGTTCAGTAAAATTGTTTCACTTCTATATATAATTTACCGGTCTTTATCGTTAGTATTTAAAATCAAATATTGATCCTACATTCTTTATATTTAATAATATATAAACATTGATAGGTAAAAAATGAGGTTTAATCATTTGCATATTTTGTTTATTGTTATTGCATATTTTGTTTATTATATTGTTATCACAAAACTTATCAAAAAGTATTTGTTAGATACCTGCATCAACGAGTGTTAATTGGAAAATCGTTACGTTTCCGGTCTACTAATCAATAACAGCTGTAGATTCATTCAACCTTATGGACTAGTTCAGAGACAGCGGAATCCGAGTGGATTCAGTTAACCAGAATTGAAAGGGCTCATACATATGCTGTTAGTTATCGCTTTTCATTTTATTACAAGAATGGAAGTCCAAGAGACAATGTGTACTTGCTCCACAAAAGAGGACATCGGCTGCATTCAATGTTACGTGATCGCCACGTTCAGAAATCAGTAAATAAATTTTATTTCCTGATAACTTTTATGATATCAAGCGTATCACCAAATATATAATGTGCTGTGTATACACAAATTAATTTCCCGGGGGTAGAGTGGCGGTTACCGCTCAGGTTCATGATCCGCTATGGTCTGGTATAAACTATATCAATATAAATTAGATCCGCGAGGTTTGCACCCTTGGGATTTCGCTGTATCTTGATTTTACTGCTTCTCTACATGTCATCTCTTCTTAGAAGGTTGGTAATCCGCATCTTCGATACAGTCGCCCTGAGTAAGTCAACGGATTTACATCCAGATCAGGCTTTTAAGTTGTTCAACCAAGAAATACGTCTCCTTCTTTGACTTTCTTGTATTTTTCCTTAAGAAGTTATAATGTCTTCTCATGATATATCCTAGATATTTTAACTATTTGATCTTAATGGTGTTCAAACCTTCCTTGTCCTTTCCCAACCTTGTCAACACCCCAATATTCGTTATTTTATTTTGTAAATGTCCCAAATTTCCATTCCATAGATCATATAACATTTTACCAGTCTTATTTTTGAAGCAATGTGACTGCTACAGAATACCCTTTAATTTTGTTAAATGCACTTGTTCTTTTCCTGCCTTAATTTTTTCATTGTACATACTTATTAACTTTAATTAATAGTTGTTTTCAGGTATTTATACTTTTGGACATTTGTTCTCCAAGTGTTGTTAACTTTTCTTCTCGAAGCTGCTGCATTTTTATTACACTGTCAACCATTTGTTGTAAATATTCAAAGCATTCAGCTATTAAGATGGTGTATTTGCAAATCATGTATTGTTGATGAATCGATCATTTATTTTTATACCTGTCGCTAGTTCTTCCAAAGTTTCATAATTATTTCATCTAAATACATGTTGGACCGGACAGAGATAATTAGCAACCCTGTCTATCGCTTCTTTTAATCTTTTATTTTTTTCCAAAAACCCGTTTTTATAGGCATTTTACATTTGCATGTATAGATACTCTTGTGTGATAAAACGTGTCATTATCATCATTAAGCTCCACAATTCTTTTCTTTTTTATCAGGAAGCTTTCGGTTCAATACCGGTTGTATTACTGCAGTCATTAGGCCCTGGTATACTCAAGGCTCTTGTATCAAGCCATACCGTGCCAATGCTATAATCCCCCAGAGTTCGCTAGCTCTTTGGAGCGTAGCTTGAGAACACTTTTCCTCCAGTGCGGTGCCCTGGCCACGATGGTGTTACACCTCGGGAATGAGGAGCACAGTAGTCGTAGCACGAATGTCACCATGTGTCTATTTGTGATGCGACCGATTGAGCGTGGTATGTATATTTTGTGTTTGTGTGTATGAGCGCGCGCATTTTTGTATGTGTGTCATGTTTAGTCGAGAAATCTACAGTTAATGACATCCGTAGCCCTCTCATGTTTTCAGTTTATTTGGGACCATTGGGACGTGCCATTTCAGGGGTGAGAAGTTTGTCTAGTTTGTCCTGAATTGAGTTAAAGCCAGTTCAGATAGTATCTGTTCTATGATTTTCCACAATTCTGATCTGTTGACTGCTTTGTTTTTCCAGTTGGTAATCTCTAAGATTTTTCAGATCTTGTTCCAAGTATGCAAGTTTGTCTTCCTTTCGAACTTCTTCCTGCTGTTGTCTTATAATTTTCTTTAGTATTTCACTCTACTATATTCGTTCAACTTAGCCCACCCAACTGAACGTAAAATCTTTATAACAAAGCGAGGTTTGTATTCGCGCTGCTTCTGTTGTATCTGAATTAGCCCTATGTTGGTTTGAGTGCATTGACGACACAAATAATTTCATTTTATAGATAGGCTGGATTCTGTATGCACAAGATCTACTAAAGAATGCATGTTGAATGAAAATATAACTTTATAACATCAGATAAAAAAATAACAGTGGAATGTGAAAATTGGTCATTAATATTCACATCACCTTCATTTTTCATGTATAAATTGCATGCGCTCTAGCTAACATTTATATTTGTTGATTTTTTTTATAAACTTAAATGAATATACAGAGAGGAAGTCGAAGTCGAACAAACACCTGTAGAAGAAGAACCAAAAGAATTGACCCTAGATGAATGGAAGGCTCAACGCGCTGGACGTGCTAAACCCCAATTCAATATTAGGAAAGCTGGCGAAGGAGAGGACCCAAGCCAATGGAAGAAAATGTTCGAACTTAGGAAAAAAGAAAAGGATGAGGAGGTAAGAACGTTATAATATTTTTGCCACTAAATATTATCACCATATTCCATTTCATCTTTCAAACTGACATATCCTTTTTGTTAAGTTAGGTTTGCTGATATCGTCAAACTGTGAATAGTTTTTTTAAAATATATATTCCCTTTATAGGATACTGATGAAGAAGAATATGATGCATCAGAATATCCCCAACGCGTTGGTAGACAAAAGCATCTCTTGGACATCGAGATTCAATTCAATGACAGTGTACGCAGAGGCGGTGGACGCGGAAGAGGACAAAGATCTGGCGGCCCAAGAGGTGGTGGAAATCGCGGTGGTAGTGGTGGCGGCGGCGGCGGCAATCGAGCCAGAGAAAGTGATAGACCAGAAAGACGTTACCATAATGATGCTGTAAGTAACAGTAATTCTTATACTATAAATACTACTGTTAGAAAGTGGGATTAGTATTCAGTATTACCCCATTCCTGTTATCTTTCCGTGGTTGATCTTGGAAACCTCTTTCTTTATTGAGTTTTTGCTAATCTTTTGCTAGATTTTCCTTTTTTGAGCTTTCACTAGATTTTTGCTTCTAACAATGATTGTAATGCTTCTAACAATGATGTAATTCAGCAGTGGTCAATATACATTTATGTTTACGTCTAGCTTTTTTAGATGTCGAATACATAACATTATTTACATCCACTTTTTTTACAAATACTATAACTTACTTTAACATATGTAATTAACAAGAAACTATCAATTTACGTTTTCCAGTACTATAAGGGCACTTAGGCACAACACGTTTTTACTCAATAATAGTTCCTGTATAAGTAAAATTGTTTTCTTAATGTGCTTCATTAAAGCACACTAGACATATTACAGTTTTGCCATCACATTCTTCACAGTATGTTTTAACTTATTTAATTTTTCTTCACAGTATGTTTTAACTTTTTTAATTTTTCTATCGGCCTTTCTACTAGTCACGTTTATTCTTAAAATTTTGTAACCTCTTGTACACTTCCTTCTCTTTTATTATCTACATCGCTTTGCCTGAGATGGTATTTTTTGGGTGTAATTAGTCATCAGGGTTTCAACATTTCTTTAATTTCTTTATTTGCAAACGCCTTCGCTAATTCCAGTCTGAACTCAATAATAGGTTGTCGCTTTTTTCGCTTTTTCTATTATTTACCAACTAAGCATTGACTACTGTGGTATTAAATATTAATTCCACTGCCACTTTCCGGTACCACTTCAGTATTTTGCATATTGGGCTTCTGTAAAATGCCATTTGGTCACTAAAATCAACTCTTTTTTTCACAATGTTATAATCTAGAATAGTTTGTGGTTTTAGCACTTGTGTCTAATTTTTCTTTCCGCCTGACTAAACCAAGATACAACTATTATGATTAAATGTTGTAATAATTAAAATTGGTTCTTTGTCGACCCATTTTATCACTTGTGAAAGCAATAATGGGGTGAAGTTTCAGTATAAGTAATCGGTTGCCACTTTTTTAATCTAGATTTTGGTTTTGTATTTTTTGTAGTAGAACATCTGCACATAAATTCGTTTCTTGAACTATAATTTGAATTCATCAACCCATATTCTAAAAGAAATGTGTTTTTACATTGTCGGGAATATTATAAACTGGTTCTCTTTCACAAAGCATTGGAAATATGATTTACATTATATTTTAGAAAAATCTTTTACTGCAACTCTTGTTCGACCTAAACTAAATTATTACACAAAACAAATAATCAATAAACAAATTTTTTATATTATGTGTGGCATGAGTCACTGTGCGGTACAGTGCGGCACAAGATATATTTAGGTTGTATAATCAAGCCGTAATACTTGTCGTGAGACCATAAAACCGTATGTTATAAATAAGTATATTTCTACAAGAATTATCTTGAAAAATGAGAAAAATACAATAAAAAAGTGCAATGAAGTGTTATTTAAAAAATGCCAAGTCATTCACGGGCGGACAGTTAAAAACAAAAGTTTTTGAGTGTTCTATTGCTTGATTATTATTATCTGGTTGGTATTTTTAAAAAATACTAGCTAAGTATTCTGAAAATGTTGACATTTTTTCGTGGTCTGATCTTCCTCAACTACGTCATCTTTTTTAATTGGTGAGTTGTGTTCTTCAGGTCTCTTTAAGGGTTTTTGTTGCTATCCATAATGAATGATCTTTAGACAATGTACTAATGTAGTGTTCAAATGTGGCATTGCGTGCATCATGTAGCGCTGATTGTCCGATTGTCCTATTATATGTGTGTTTGTCATTAGGATTTTGGCTTCTTTGCCATCTACCTCTGGCTCTTCATTTTTCGACTATTAGTTATATAATATAATCCGGAGTGTTATTTGTGTTTTCTTGATTTGGAATTCTTGATCGTGTAGCCATATGAAATAGTAGACGATGAAAATGGCAGCATATTTATCCATAAAAAAGGAAACGCGATAAAGGTATCCGAAACCACTGTTTTTTGTTATAAGAGATGAAATAGCCGGAAATTACCAAAACAGATATACAAGGCACCATACAGAACGTTGGACTTTTTCGCGTTTATCATATGTACAGTAGTTAACTAAAAGTGGAGGTATGCAAAGAGATGTATGACGTAATCGTATACTATTCGCTAAATCCTGTCATAATAACAAATAATAATAATATCAAAGTAATATGCCATACACCTCTGTGGGTTAATACGTTTTATTGCTGCCAGTTTACGGTGTTATTACATGCCGCCATGTTTAATTTGTCTCCACCATCGTATTATCTCCGTCAAATCCTATAATTTTAAGCTCTATATGTCATGATTAGACCTATAGGATCGGAAATACGTAACTAAGGCTCTTTTGACACAGCATATATAGGAGCACAGATATATACCTAAGGTTTTTTTGACGTGTTGCTGTATTTGATTTCTATGTATTCTACTGTATTCTATTGCTTAAATAGAATATTTCTTTTTAAGGCTTTTCGTGCACTGTGGTATAATAGGAGACGACGAATGATGCCTTAGGATATCTTCGACGTCTGGGTTGGAAATAATCGCTGGTCTTCGAAGTCGGTGCAATCGTTTATATTCGACGTAAGGACAACTTTGGTTATTTGGATTAATAATGAAACAACAGTTTTACTAGGAAGCACCACTAACCAACAAGTTCTAGTAGGGCTCGAAGTGTCTGACGACTGAAGTCCCGATCGGAAGGTGCGCTGCTCTTTTATACGTTTAGTAATTGAGAACTCGCAGCGCTCTTCCGCCGAGAGGCTAATGACAGCGAAGTTAATAACGAGCGCTGTGTATTTTGGCGACATTAGCAAAGACAGTTGATCCTTGAATATTAACCATTTTGTGTGAATGCTTACAGGAACCGATTGATCCCATTCCAAGTGCTCAGACCAAATTTCTTGAATTATGATCTTGGCCTTAATGATACAAGGAGCCAATAGACCTAACGGGTCAAATATCTGAGCTATATTTGAAAGAATTGTACGTTTGCTTGCTGAATTAGATACAGTATATAGTTGAATATATACATGATAACTTAAAACATCTTCATCAATGTGCCATAGAATACCTAACGCTTTAGTGCGTTAGTCCTATGCGAAGAAAATTAGACTCTACTGGAGATGTATTAAGCCCTTGAATGATAGATGAACAGTTTGAAACCCATTTTCTTAAAGAAAAACAACCACGTTGAAGAATATCACTTATTTTCGCACTTGCGATAGCAAGATCGGTGGCCGAGTCTGACCCAGTTAACAAATCGTCGACGTAGAAATCATCGCGAATTATTTGAGCTGCCTTAGGATTTGTGCCAGAAGACTCCAAGGAGAGTTGGAGTAGACATCTGGTAGCAAGAAAGGAAGCGGAAGCCGTACCATACGTGATTGTGTTCAGCTGATAAGGGCTCAACTCTTCTTCAGGACTGAATCTCCAGAGAATTTGCTGCAATCTACGCTGCTCAGGATTAACTAGAACCTGGCGATACATTTTGGCTATGTCAGCCGAAACTACATAAGTATGCTGACGAAAGCGCAATAGAATAGAAAGGGAGTCATGCATAGCCTTTCAGTTGATCGTAATACATAACTGCAACAACACGAATGTTAATGACTTGCGTTAGTTCGTTAGTATATACAGTGCATTTGGTACGTTTTTTAAACATGAGTAGGAAATTGTTGACTGGAGGCTATTACAGAAGTTTTTAAAACTTGCGTATCACCGCCTTTTCTGTAAATGGGGTGAAAATTGTTATCCATTTACTTTTTTTCACAATTAGTTGAATAATTCCTGCTGGCGTTTGGTCTAAGCCTACTTGTTTTCCCCATTCAAGGTGTTTCATAGCTAATTCTACTTTCTCTGTATGGTGCCCTGTATATATGTTTTGGTAATTTCCGGCTATTTCATCTCTTATAACAAAAACAGTTGTTTTAGATATCTTTATCGCCTTTTTTATGGATGAATATGCTGCCATTTTCATCGTCTACTATTTCATTTCAACACAAATAGCACCCCGAATTATATTATATAACTAATAGTCGAAAAATGAAGAGCCAGAGGTAGATGGTAAAGAAGCCAAAATTCTAATGACAAACACACATATAATCGACTAATCGGACAATTAAGATCAGCGCTACATGATGCACGTAATTCCACATTTGAACACTACATTAGTACATTGTCTAAAGATTATTCAGTATGGATTGCAACAAAAACCGTTAAAGAGACCTGAAGAACACAACCTACCAATTAAAAAAGATGACGTTAGTTGAGGAAGATCAGACCAGGAAAAAATGTCAACATTTTCAGAATGCTTAGCTAGTATTTTTAAAAAATACCAACCAGATAATAATAGTCAAGCAATAGAACACTGAAAAGTTTTGTTTTTATAGTAGAGTAAATAGACTGGCAAAAGGCTTCTAGAATAGATTTTGGTGGGCACTTTGTTGCTAAAATGTAAAACCTATTTTTTTTTCGTTTCTAATATCTTTCTAATGCAAAATCACTTGGTCGTCCAAAAATCGTAGCGGGAGGGGAGTGGTGGGGAGCCTTACAAAAAAAAGTGCTAATTTTTTTTTTCGTTATTTTTCGGATCTACGATAACCGAAAATTCATTCCTCAAATTTGTATGTTGATCTGGACATTAGAAATATTTTTATTTTATTTATAAAAATACGTCAAACCATTGTTGTATATGGAGCGCCTTCATACAAAATCACTTGTTCTGAAAACCCATATTTTTAAAATCTTTTACCTCACTCTAAATCGAAAAATATTGGGTTTAGCAAAAAATTACTTTCTATAAACATTATAGACCAAAAATCAAAGAACACGTGGGTTTTTTTAGAATTTCGATTGGATACTTAGTTTAAGAAAGAATTAAATAAATCGAACGG